ACAAGGAATATGTTATGTTACATTTACACTATGATCGAACGTGTGGTATACACGGCGGTGGTCTCCACTAAATGACTGATGATGCTAATCATTAATGACTATAAGAGACCATTCCCAGACAATATCCTACTAACTTTGGATCGAACTAGAGGATTCGCGCTTAATTGCAATTAACTTGGGCGGCTTAGATGTCTGTCACGCCTGCTGAGGCTGATAGGGAGTAAATAACTATCGTTTAGCAGCTTAAGTGGGCGTCCCAACGTCTAAGATGCTTAGGCTGAAAGCAATTGACCCCGTGGCTATGGATCAACCCTGTTAGCTCGATCTAGGGAAGGGAACCCAGTCTAATTCCCACGGCTACTTCCCTTCTTTTCTCTTTCTTTCTTGGTTCTTTATCAAAGAAACTACTCTCAGACAAGAAACATTGGATAACTTTTAAATATTCAACTGACAAGTCAAACAGACATCCTCTTCGTTTATATACACACGACTCCGAATCTAGAATATACTGTAAAGCGATTATGAGTTTGACCCAAATGTTTTGTTAAAACCAATTCTTTATAGGCTACATGTAAGCATATAAAACTCTCCATACGTTTGCTCTAGTTAATTGCATCGTATTCTAAACCCTTTTGTATGTATTATAAGCTACAGCAGTTTAGTTTATAAAAAGCAAATGCGGAGAATCGCCTCATTGTCTGAGGGGGCTTTTTTAGACAAAACCTGCCGATAACACGCCCAGCCAAGCGAAAAACATTCAGTCCACTCCTTTTTCATGAGACTTGTATTTAAGGGTTATTTTAAGCCTTTATTTACCTGGCTGCCTTTCTAAGGCCTTGACAATACAATTGGCAGTAATTCAAGTCCCAGTGAGTCACCGTTAAGGAGAAAATGGTTTATGTTCCAAATTAGCATTCAATGCGCGACATTCTTATGGGACTAATAAGGCTGCTCCATGTGTATCTTTTATAGTTTATTTTTAGGACTGAAACATAAAACGAACATGCACCATAGTTGATGGTTTACAGTAATTAATTAGATAAAAATTAGTAATCTAGATTGTAAAGGCGTATAATATGACAGTGCAGTCCTCAAATCAACCACTAAAGAGTTGAGATTTTTTATATAATAATAAGAAAAAATACTGTAGTTTAGTGTGGTTGTTAACAAGAAAGGATCCCTAAATTTAGATTTAAAAAGTCGGTGTTTTAAACAGCGAATTATGGCGTAGTCTGCAAAGTACTGGTACTTGCTGAATCGTCGCTTTCCTTCACTTATTTAGATATTCTTCGTGAAAAATGAACTAAAGATTATTATGATGTATCTATTCATTATCATGTATTTAGGCATTTCCGTTTAATCAACATTCGTGTTCAACACCGTTTGGGGATTAGGCCAGTCTCCATATTCCTCTTACAATCGTTTAGCTACCCTGTAATTATCACACTCGTCTATTGAAGTTTAAACACTAATTTAGCGTGTAAAGCTTCAACTGGTACACGGAATAAATATAAACATGTCCAATACGGTACGTCTCGCTTTCAGATAAGATCGTGGGTTTAATTGTTATTCTCATTTACGAGATCCATTAAAACGCAACAACTGACAAAGGGCTGAGGCATGCCCCATCTATATACTGGATTGAAAATTTACCGAGTCCTGCCGCCGATATGGTTAAACAATCGGAACAGCTAGAAATCTCTTGGACGATTTCGACATTTTTTTCTAAATGTTTGAGCCCAGAGAAAATTATTTTAGAAATAAAATATGGTCAGATTGATTGCACCGGTCGAACTGTTTTGCAAATTACCATAGTGGATAAAGATAACGTCTTATTAAGGATAAGGATACCGTGACACAATGTTTCAATTTACAAACAATGACTAAGTTAAAGCCTCGGCCTTAACCGACCGTACGGGCTCTCAGTCTTACGGGCTGTTTGCGTCCAAATTTTACGCAGAATCTCACGTCCACGCAAGTCCTTCTTACGCAATTTCGAGTTCGCAGACAGCTTGTAAGCACGAGAAGAGGAGAACAGAAAGCAAAACTGACGCATGCCGTCAGTACGTCACCACAAACGTGTGAGGCAATTTTGAAGCAAAACTGACGCAAAGGGCACTACTTTCGCCGAGCGTTGCATTCCCTTCTTAAGTGGTGAGTGTGTGCCACGATCACAGGAAGCAAGACAAACTCAAAATATGAATAAAATTTCCACGGCCATCGCTCCTTGGAATTAGCGTCCCTGCTTGAAAGGACATCTCATGTGGCCTTTGCAACTCGCAAGGCAGACTTTCCTCTATCTCTACGACCTCCACGCCCCCTGCAACACCCAAAAATTGCAGGGGACGTACGATCCTGACATTCGTGCGTCCGGTTGTGACCGAGGCTTAATGTATGTCTACAGAGGTGGTAGCACCAAGACCTACGTGCGATTGATTGACGTATTGGCTGACCTTTATCTTCAGAAGTGGATCACTGCTATCTGATAACAACAAGTTGTACACATTTCTTAGGTAAGTATCTATTATTAGTTTATGATGTTTTAGAACTAAAAAAAATCCAGTAATAAAATTCAGCAAGTAAGGAAAATAAATTAGACATCTTTCTGTTTATACTTCAAAGTCATTCCTTTCTTTGTTTGGATGCTAAATATTTCATTTATATAAAAAAGTTTATTTCACTTTTAGTACCCGTATGTCACATGACCAGCTCCACCATAGTTGACAAAGGGCCGTACCGCAGCCGATATCATCAAATCTTTTTAACCACCCACGGTGAGTTTAACATGGTTACTTCTTAAGTTTTATAATATGATATAAGCTGATATACAGTGTAGACAAAAATTTGCTTAAACTGTAGCTGCAAAATGTACCCACATAGACTAAAATACACATACTGATCTATCGATCTTGTTTCACCTCTTCTCTTTGCCCGCACGAAAACATAGTAGATACTCCACCGCAGTAGAACTACTGCACCCACACTGAAACCATACTTCAAATCTGCTCCGATTTAAGGTATGAAGTACACACTCCCCATATGTAGCATTCTACTGCAACAATGTTTCACAAAATCTTAGCAGAAATTAGGCATAGTGCTTCACCGCAGTAGTACATTACCTCATTTCTATTCTGAGCGCAGCAGTTTCGAAGTAGCATGCGTTACGGAAGGGCAGAAACCACTAAATGGACCAATGTATGTAGTTCAGTAAGAGAAAATTAGTGCTTTATCCATATGTTCCTATTACATCATTTATAGCAGCATAATGATCATCAATTTTAATAAGAAAATAAAAGTATCATGGATATTCAGAACATGTGACTAATAAAAGTATTCAAGCCAATGGAAGTTCAGAGTCACACCTTGCTATTGACAAAATGTAAACAAGAGTAATAACTGTATATAACTGTACTGAAATAAGTTTTCCATTTTCAACACATTTTAAATAAAACAAAAGAACCAGTTTACTGTCACTTTTATATTATCAACTAAGAAAATTGTAGACATACAAGGTAGAAAAAATATCAATAGAACAATTTTAAATGTCCAATTTGCCCCATTCTGAGATTCTGAACATAGTGAATGATTGAATCGGATATGTGTCTGTACATAAAAAGTAAAATCAGTAATTGAATAGTAAGCAAGCAAAATCGTTCATAAAAGGTCTCTAAAATGCGACTTTCCTACGAAAGGACACGTGCCGCCCCAAAACAAAAGGCAGATCCGTGTGGATTATTATGGAAGCAATACTACAGGGAACTGCACGAATGCAGAGATTTGCTGATCGACCTGCCTACGCGAAGTTTGCCAACACATCTTTGGGCTGCAGGGGTCCAAATGGCTACGCTCACCGGCCATGCTCGCCCTATACTTGTGAACAGATGGGGTTCTAGGTATTACAGTGAGGCCGTAACCGTGGTCTAGTGTCAAGGGACTTTCTGTTTTAGCTGTACAACAGAAAAAAGACCGAGTGGCATGAAAGATGGAAGGCTAGATTGTGCAATGTGAAGATCCTCTGAAGGCCCCACCCTTAAAAAATGGCACTTAGGGGGTTTAAGTGGTAAATACTTCATTTATTTAAAACAACGTCCACCCTCGAATGCACATAACAATTAAATTGTCTTTATTATCATTTACGATTGGAGATAAAATTGATATCGGGCTACGGTTCAAATGGTTTTGTCACTTGATTCGGAACCCAAACCGCCGTGAACAACATGGCGACTGCATCGTAAGACTTTTTGAGTAACACATTAGACGTATATGCGGTTGAAAAACGTAACCTTTTTATTGGCAGTATTGCGTTCATTCAAACTGCTATTCCTATAGCTAACCCGCTCTTGAATGAACGTAACAGACAATCATAATATTACTTGTAGTTGTCTTTTTTTCAGTTTTTATCGAACGATGGAGATGTAGGGGTCTTGCAGGCAATCACTGAAGCGAGAATGGAATTTAAATAAGTATAAACATATAACTTAAGCTTAATACATGATAAGAATCCATGGCATGAATTTTTATTGATTGTAGGCCTACGTATTTTTGGCTCACCGGTCATTCTTTACTAAAACCTACTCCCAGGCAAACTTTAAATTAAATTTTTTATGTCTAAACAAGAAAACTGTCTCGAGCAGAGATCCTTGAAGGTTATGGAAGTATGTTGATATACATTTGTAAATACAATGGTAAAATTTTCAATTCATGAAAAAGAACACAAAGTAACTGTAAATATAAATGTCTGTTTTATCAAATGTGTTTATATTTTGTGTCTCGATAGAATATATTGAATTTAAATAATACCTTTTTTTTTTGGGGGGGGGGGTATTAGAGTTTTAGACTTTCCAATAAGCGATCAAGTGTACTGAAACTGTGATATTAATTGTTTTTATTTGAATTTTAGGAGTCCACTTGAAACCTCAGACGAGGCAGGCCTGTAGCCAGCAATTTCAAAAGGGGGGTTCTTTTTTCTGAAAAAGTGGACCTTTTTCCATAAGATCAAACTTTGCCCAGAGTGGACCTTTTCCCAGCAAAAGGGGCGGTTCTTTCCAATCCCCCTGGCTACGGGCCTGTGAGGACGTATGGACGCTGTATTCGTCATGGGAGAACGACAGGTGTGTTTTTAGGTATTCAGCCTTCACCCATCAAAGTATTTTTTAACACTTAAGACAAGTCATTGTTGTAAAAGGCGCTTTGAAATATCATGATTGCTGTTGAAATATCATGGTTGCTGTTTCTAGAAAAACAAATGCACTGGAACTTATGTTGTCTTATTTGTTTTTAGGACCCCAGATTAGATTTCATTTGAGGACGAGTGGATTCAGTATTTGTCATGAGGAAATACATTTTTGAGAAAACACTGAAATTTTGTATGAAAATGTTCCAATTAATAAACGATAAAACAAACTTCTATCCGTCTTTTTCTTGATGTATAGACCGTATGAATAAAACGAACTTTTTCACTACCTCATCGTAGTATATTTGGAAGCTAATTACCATATTTGAAACATGCACCTATCATGCTGCTATCTACTGCATTAAAGCTCTCCTCTGCAAAAACTTATGCGATTATTGGCCATAGAAGTGCAGTAATACTGCATCTCTACTACATACATGCTCCACACCACTGCTGCATTAATGCTCTTATGCTACTTCGATACTTCTACATTTTCGTGTGGTGTGTTTCCTATATCCATTGATCTCTTACATTCCAGATCTAGGACAAAATGGCAGCTGCTGCAACACCACGAAACGAGAGAGAAAATGAAATTCGAATGAGGCTACTGATACATCGGTCTAACGATGTGCTTCAAGATATTCTCAGTACACAGTTACAAACAACTTATACTGGCATATTTGATCCTACAAATGGCGGCAAGCTGTTTGATGTACTTGGCGACCAAAGAGCAAACCATACTTTGCTGCAATTGAAAAAACGAAATGTTTTGAATTCCAGTCAAATGAAGCTTCTGTACCCCTCTGGGAATCCCTCCACAACTGTGACATTAAAGGACTTAGATTTAACTCTTACTGTTGTCTTGTTGAGAAACATCACAACACTGAACCCGAAAGCCAACTGGGAGAATCCACCAGTAACTGACACGTCCGTGGAAGCCCAGATAGGCAGAGTGAAGAAATTCCGCAACGAATTCGCACATGGGGGTGCCGGTCTCTCAGATACAACATTCCAGACCAAGTTTGCTGAATTAAAATCTCTTTTGTTGTCTCTGTCTCCACTCTACACCAGTGACGACTACGACAAGTTGCTGACTGATCAATTACGTGCAGCAGGTAGGGCGTACTATTATGCACATAAAAAGCTGTGCTCACAATGCTAGTGGCATTAAATATAATATTAATGAGACAAATAAGTGAACATGTTATATGTTCATGTCTATTTGTTTGTCACTAAAAATACTATTGGTAGTTTATAATGCAAATTTTATGATTCGTCGGAAAAAGGCTTTCCTCAAAGTCTTTAAATAATGGCAGTGATGATTACATTTACCATCCTTTGGACCCATCAATTTTCTGAAGGATTTATTACAATTGCGAAAAAAAGACCATCGATTTTGACTGTTGTGCAATATATGAGCTAAAACTTCCATAATTTATTATTATAAAGCCTGTGAGAGAGAGCTGGAGTTCTTTTAATATTTTTCTAGTCATTTTGCCACCATTTTTACACAACAGGCAATGTCATATCTAGTCAGTGTAAAAAGTATGTTCTTGTTTTGCTATCTTGTTGAAAAAATTCATTGTTGATTAGGTAAATAATAATAATCACGAACTTGTGTGTGTATGCATTAGTGTGAAATCCATCCTTCAAGTAACATTTTACGTCATAAAAGTGAGTAACATTTTACGTCATAAAAGTGAGTTTATGTTTTTTTTTCACATTACAATACTATTACATTCCAATTTTATTTCAGAAGCACCTTGTGACCTCATTTGTCCGAATCTTCCAAGTAGAAATCTACAGTTGAAGGGACGCGAAGATTTGGTGCAGAAAATACTGGGGCATGTTTCAGATGACACCCAACTCATTTTGCTGACAGGGATGGGTGGTATAGGTAAAACAAGTACAGCTATTGAGGTTGGACACCACAGAAAAGATGTCTTGTACTTTGACATGAGAAAAGTTGTAAATCTTGAATCTGTCAAATTGTCACTTGTACATCACTACCAGCCAGCGATTACTTTAAATGATATGTACAAAGATTATCAAAACAAATTCATACAAACTATGTCTAGTTTGAATACAGACACTCTCTTTATCTTTGACAATAATGACAGTATTTTGCACTCACAAAAGCAAGACTTTCTGCAGTTGCTGCAAGATCTAATGGATTCATCAAAGTATATCACACTGTTATGCACCAGTCGTGAATCCTTTAGTATTCTAACACACAGGACAGTTACTATAGACATTCCTCCGCTCGATAAAATATCTTCACTAAAAGTTCTTTGGGGAAAAACCAACCCTTCAGATAGTGAGTCAGATGTTTTAGCTGAAATAGCAGACAGTTGTGGCCATAACCCCCTTGCATTGAGACTGCTTGCTGCCCAGATTAAAGTCCAAACTATAGAAAAAGTTTCAGGGAAAATGAAACATAAAAAGGTCCTCAGCACTCTTCAGTTACCTAACATTCCAGCGTCCCAAGATATGGTTACCTGCCTAGATATGTCTTATGAAACACTGGAACCCTCACAGCAAAAGGTGTTAAGAGGATTGCATATTTTCCCCGTTGCATTTACTTCAATTGAGGTTTCTGAAATTTTGGAAATAGATGAAGATGAATGTGAATCTGTCCTTGACAGTCTTACCATTAAATCCCTCTTGAACTCCAGTGAAAATACCTATGATCTACATCCTTTGCTAAGAGACTATGCAGAATCTCATGCAAATACAAGCAATGAAATCTCTCATACACAAGAGAGATACTGTGATTATTTCATGGGTCGTCTCAAACAGTTATACAATGTTTACCAAAGCAGTCCTGCTGAATTAGAATGTTTGGCGAACATGTCACCCCATCTAGATAAGACCGCCAGTTTGCTCAAATCAAATATGTGCTCATTTGAGATACAACAGAGAAAAGAGGCATTCATTAATTTGCAACTCATCGCAGAGGTGTTCCATAATCTTTTTCTTAATCAGAAAGCTTTATCAATTTATCAGACAGTAGTAGATGGAATGCAAAATTATTCTGAGTACAATCAGCTTGACGTAGAAAAGGTAAACAACAAATTAGGTTATGTGCTGCAAAAAATGGGTGAGTACAAAAAGGCACTTTCTTATCACAGAAAAAGCTGCAATGTGAGAGAAAAGCTTCTAGGTTCCAAACACCCTGACACCGTTTCCTCATACAACAGTTTAGGTTTAGTACTGCAAGACATGGGTGAGTACAAAGAAGCACTCGCCTGTTACAAAATCTGTCAGGATGTGACAGAAGAGCCGTTAGATCCCAAACATCTTGATACCGCTACCTTATACAACAATATTGGTTGTGTACTGAAGTGCATGGGTGAGTACAAAGAGGCACTTGCCTATCACAAAAAAGCACTGAATGTGAGGGAAGAACTTCTAGGGCCGAGACACTCTGTAACTGCTTCCTCATACAACAACATAGGTGATGTGCTACGAGCCTTGGGTGAGTACAATGAGGCACTTACCTGTCATAAAAAATGCCTGAATGTGCTTGAAGAACTTTTAGGTCCCAAACACCCTGAAACTGCTTCCTCATACAACAATATAGGTTTTGTACTTCAGGACATGGGTGAGTACAAAGAAGCACTAACATATTTAAAAAAATCCCTGAAAATCTGGGAAGAGCTGTTAGGTCCCAAACATCCTGATACTGCTGCCTCATACAACAATATTGGTGCTGTACTGCAATGTATGGGTGAGTATAAAGAGGCACTTGCCTATCACAAAAAAGCCCTGGATGTGAGGGAAGAGCAACTGGGTTCAAAACATCCTGATACTGGTACCTCGTACAATAATGTTGGCTTTGTACTAAAAACTATGGGTGAGTACAAAGAGGCACTTGCATATTACAAAAAATCCCTAGATGTGAGGAAGGAGCTATTAGGTCCCAAACACCCTGATACTACTTCTTTGCACAACAACATTGGTTTGTTACTGCAAGGCATGGGTGAGTACAAAAAAGCACTTGAATATCTCAAAATATGCCAGGAAACATGGGAAGAACAGCTAGGTCCCAAACACCCCACTACTGCTACCGCATACAACAATGTAGGTTTTGTACTTCAAGACATAGGTGAGTACAAAGAAGCACTAGCATACCACAAAGTTTGCCTCAATATCAGAAAAGAAATGCTAGGTTTTAAACATCCTGATACCGCCACCTCTTTCAACAATATTGGTGCTGTACTGCAATACATGGGTGAGTACAAAGAGGCACTTGGTTATTACAAAAAATCACTGGAATTGAGGAAAGATCTGCTGGGAACCAAACATCCTGATACTGCAACCTCATACAATAATGTTGGCTTTATACTAAAATCAATTGGGGATTACAATGAAGCACTCACATATCTGAAAATATGCCTAAGTGTTAGGGAAGAGCTGCTGGGTCCCAAACATCCAGACTCTGCTACTTCATACAGTAACGTTGGTTCCATACTCGAAATTATGGGTGAGTACAATGAGGCGCTTATTTATTTCAAAAAAACTCTAGATGTAAGGAAGGAGCTTCTAGGTCCCAAACACATTGATACTGCTTCCTCGTACAACAATATAGGTTTTGTACTTCAAGCCATGGGTGAGTATGAAGAGGCATTAGCTTATTACAAAATGTGTCAGGATGTGATGGAAGATCGGTTAGGTCCCAAACATCCTGATACTGCTGCTTCATACAACAATATTGGTAGTGTATTGGAACACATGGGTAAGTACAAAGAGGCATTTGCCTTTCACAAAAAATCACTGGATGTGAGAGAAGCGCTTTTTGGCCCCAAAAATCTTGATACTGCTGCCTCATACAACAATATTGGTAGTATACTGCAGAAGATGGGTGAGTACAAAGCTGCTTTTGCCTATTTCAAAATTTGCCAGGATGTGAGGGAAGAGCTGCTAGGTCCCATACATCTTGATACTGCCACATTATACAACAATATTGGTAGTTTATTGCAACGCATGGGTAAGTACATAGAGGCATATTCCTTTCACAAGAAATCACTGAATGTGAGAGAAGAGCTTTTAGGTCCCAAACACCCTGATACTGCTGCCTCATACAATGATATTGGTAGTACATTGCAAGATATGGGAAAGTACAAAGAGGGATTTGCCTTTTACAAAAAATCACTGGATGTGAGGGAAGAGCTTCTAGGTCCCAAACACCTTGACACTGATGCCTCATACAACAATATTGGAAGTGTACTGCAACACATGGGTGAGTACGAAAATGCACTCGTCTATTTTAAGAAAAGCCTAGATGTCAGAGAAGCGCTCTTAGGTCCCAAGCACCCGAGAACTGCTTCCTCATATAGCAATATTGGTGTTGTACTACAAGCCATGGGTGAGTACAAAGAGGCACTTGTCTATCACAAAAAATGCCTGAGTGTGCGGGAAGAACTTCTAGGCCCCAAACACCGTGAAACTGCCTTATTATACATCAGTATTGGTGTTGTGTTACAAGCTATGGGTGAATACAAAGAAGCACTAGTTTATCACAAAAAATGCCTGGCAGTAAAAGAAGAACTTCTTGGTCCTAAACACCCTGTTTCTGCTTCCTCGTACCACTATATAGGATCCGTACTTCAAGACATGGGTGAGTACAAAGAGGCAGTAAAATATCTCAAGACATGTGTTAACATCAGAGAAGAACAGCTGGGTGCCAAACACCTCGATACTGCCACCTCATACAACAATGTAGGTTCTGCACTGCAATACACAGGTGAGTACAAAGAGGCACTAAAATATCTAAAATTATGCCTTAGTGTCAGGGAAGAACTGCTAGGTCCCAAACACCTTGAAACTGCTTTATCATACAGCAATATTGGATCCGTGCTGCATGTCATGGGTGAGTACAAAGAGGCACTTGCTTATCACAAAAAATCTGTTGCTGTAAGAGAACAGCTTCCAGGTCCCAAACACCCTGATATTGCTTCTTCATACGACGTTATTGGTGTTGTTTTGAAAGCAATGGGTGAGTATAAAGAGGCACTTGCTTACCACAAAAAATCTGCTGCTGTAAGAGAACAGCTTCTAGGTCCCAAACACCCTGATACTGCTTCTTCATACGATGTTATTGGTGTTGTTTTGCAAGCCATGGGTGAATATAAAGAGGCACTTGCTTACCACAAAAAATCTGTTGCTGTAAGAGAAGAGCTTCTAGGCCCCAAACACCCTGACACTGCTTCTTCATACAACGCTATTGGTGTTGTCCTGCAAGCCATGGGTGAGTACAAAGAGGCACTTGCTTACCACAAAAAATCTGTTACTGTAAGAGAAGAGCTTCTAGGCCCCAAACACCCTGATACTGCTTCTTCATACAGTAATGTTGGATTCGTGCTGCAATACATGGGTGAGTACGAAGAGGCACTTGCTTACCACAAAAAATCTGTTGCTGTAAGAGAACAGCTTCTAAGCCCCAAACACCCTGATACTGCTTCGTCATACAGTAATACGGGATTCGTGCTTCAACGCATGGGAGAGTCCAAAGAGGCACTTGCTTACCACAAAAAATCTGTTGCGGTAAGAGAAGAGCTTCTAGGTCCCAAACACCCTGATACTGTCTCTTCCTACAAAAATATTGGTCTCATACTACAAGAAATGGGTGAGTACAGAGAGGCACTTGCCTATCTCAAAAAATTACTGGATGTGAGGGAAGAGCTGTCAGGTCCCAAACATCTTGATACTGCTATTTTATACAACAATATTGGTGTTGTACTACAAGCCATAGGTGAGTACAAAGAGTCACTTGCCTATCACAGAAAATGCCTGAGTGTGCGGGAAGAACTTTTAGGTCCCAAACACTCTGACACTGCTTCCTCATACAACAATATGGGCAGGGTACTACAGGACACGGGTGAGTATGAAGAGGCTCTTTCCTTTTACAACAAATGCTTAGGTGTGAGAGAAGAGGTTTTGGGCACCAAACACACTGATACTGCTGCCTCATATAATTATGTAGGTGTTGTACTGCAAGCAATGGGTGATTTCAAACAGGCACTTGTCTATCACAAAAAATGCCTGGAAGTAAGGGAAGTGGTGCTAGGGCCAAAACATCCTGATATTGCTACGTCATATGATATTATTGCCTGTGTACTTCAAACCTTGGGTGAGTGCAAAGAGGCACTTGTCTATCACAAAAAATGCCTGAGTGTACGAGAATTTGTAGGTCCCAAACACCCTGATACTCTTTCCTCATACAACAATATTGGCCTTGTACTTAAGGCCATGGGAGAGTATAAAGAGGCTCTTTTCTTTTACAAAAAATGCTTGGGTGTGAGAGAAGAGTCTCTTGGTACTAAACACACTGATACCGCTGCCTCATATAATTATATAGGTGTTGTGCTGCAAGCAATGGGTGATTTCAAACAGTCACTTGTCTATCACAAAAAATGCCTGGATGTAAGGGAAGACCTTCTAGGTCCTAATAACCTCGATACAGCTACCTCATACAATAATATCGGTTGTGTACTACAAGCCATGGGTGAGTACCATGAGGCACTTACATATTGTAGAAAAGGCCTAGATGTAAGAGAAAAGCTTCTAAGTACAAAACACCTAGATACTGCTTCCTCATACAACACTTTTGGCAGTACATTGAAAGCTATGGGTAAGTACAAAGAGGCACTTGACTATTACAAAAAATGCATGGAGATAAGAGAACAGATTCTAGGTCCCAAACACCCTGATACTGCTACCTCATACAATAATATCGGTTGTGTACTACAAGCTATGGGTGAGTACAAAGAAGCACTTTCCTATTGCAAAATTTGTCAGAAGGTTAAGGAAGAAGTGCTAGGTCCCAAACACCCTAGTACCGTTGCTTCATACAACAATATTGGTAGCATATTAAAAACCATGGGGGAGTTCAAAGAGGCATTCAACTATTTTAAAAAAGCCCTGGAAGTGGCAGAAGGCCTGTTCAGTCCTATACACCCTGATACTGCTGTCATATACAACAATGTTGGTAGTGTACTGAAAAACATGAGTGAGTACAAAGAGGCACTTGCTTATTACAAAAAATGCCTTGAAGTAAATGAAGAATTGCTTGGTCCCACACACCCTCATACTGCCTATACTTACAACAATATTGGTTGTGCTCTGGAAAAGTTGGGTGAATACAAAGAGGCCCTTGCCTATTATAAAAAATGTCTGGAATTGACGGAAAAGTCGCTAGGTCCCAAACACCCTAATATTGTCACCTTTTGCAACAATATATGTAGTGTACTGCGAGCCATGGGCGAGTACGAACAAGTGGCAGTATATCAGATGAAATATCTGGAAATGAGTTAGGGAAGAGCTCCTAGGTCTTAAGGATTCCAATACTGCAACCTATTATAGAATGTTAGCTGATCAATGCACGCTCTTGCTCAAAATGATGGAAAATTCCAAAAGATGTATTACAAATACGATTTCAATGTGTTCGAACTAAGATACAATGGAACTTATATCCAGTCCTTCAGTGTTTTTACAGTGTTCTGAGGGCTTCTTATTTCTTTTGGTATGCTCTAAAAAGTGGAATTTTTGATATTTTATAGTGAAAATCAAACGTTATGTTGAAGAGAGCAGAGATAAGAGGAGAATAGCAGAGTCACGCAAAGACAATATTCTACCATAAAAACTTTAATCACTGAGTGTCGGGTAATTGTCATAAATCTGGTTGATGTAATCTGTTCTTTGGAGTACTGACTTCTCTAGTATCTGGGTCTTGTTGGCTCAGATTTACCCAACCCTTTACAAGAATCCCTGCCTCACCTCATACCTTGTAATTGTCTAGACCTCTTTGCCCCTTACAGTTTGGTCTAGAGCACCTAAACAGTGAACTGTAGAAAATAGCACCGTTTCTATCAAAATAACTTCCATATGTACGTCAGCAGCTAGCTTTCTCTCAGGAACTCTAGACTGGTTCAAGCTTCATTATGAACGGCGGCTAAAGGCGGGCAGAACCATCGACGTGTGCAATAGATCCCACCTCATGGTCTTCAGCTGCTCTCTTCCAAACTTAACATGAAGCATGGAGTCTGGTTTCAACACACGGAAAAGAAATCTTGCCTCACCAGAGAACCAGACATGCCTCCAATGACACATTTCACGTCAATGGAGTTGTTGGTTCTTAGTTAGCGGCGTCTCTTTCTGTGTTGGGTCAAAACAGTTTTCCAATATCCTTGGCCGATTCCAGCTTTGACTGGTCCTTTAATTTTTTTTTTTTTTTTTTTTTTTTTTTTTTTTTTTTTGCCACTGTTCCTTAGAGAAGGCGCGATAACCATGTTCTCTTTTGACAACACATCTTGTGTACTATGCAGTCCATCCTGTTGTAGTTTTATGAGGACGCCCTGTGCTGCTGCCTGCTTTCACATGGTAGCAAGTGCGAAACCTTAGGTGATCTTCCAAATGGTTACTTCAGCCATTCCAAGGTGAACAGAAAGGTGTTCTTTTGTTTGCATCAAGCACCTGCATCTCTACCACATACCAAGCTCTTCTTTGGTATATATGGGAAGAGCCATAGATACTCTTCAGACCTGCTGAGAAAAATATGACCTGAAAATACACGCCTAGGGGCATAAGTGTAAATGTGACCTTACGTTCCTTTTAGACTTGTAACACAGGGCATAAAACCATCCCCATTTGAGCATTACCAAATAAAATGATTCCGCAATCATGTATATTCTTACTTATCTTCTACACCTCGGCAGTCTTCATCTAATTCATCTTCATCTAGTCCAAAGATATATATATCTATCAAGTTAATTAGTCCTATATCATCCTAGAACATCTTGTGCGTCCTTATTTGTCCCAGATTGGGCAATCCTTACTACCCCAAGGGCATCTAAAGTCCTCTAGCAAAAAAGTGTTACCTCTTATGCAAAACGTCAAGCGATGAAGAAAATCTTCCACTGATCCAATGTTTTATTCAACTTCTAAAAGGCTTTTTTTCATTAAAATTGCTCTGCGTTAAGGTTCCCGTTGACCACTGTCAGCTGGCCAAAACCACAGTAGCTGATACAACCCATACCATGACTTACGCACCGTGCAGTTTTTCGATCAGAGAAGAAAATTCGGAAGATATTTCTTACCAGTTGTTCTCCAAACCCTTACGCACCCATCACCTTTCACAACGCTCAACCTGTTTTCATCTGAGAACAGTATCACTTCCCAGTTGTTGGCTGTTGTACATGCCAGAGTTCTGGCATAACATCTAATTTGATGTAGATGTTACTGGCAGTGATTATGGGTTTCATAACAGCAAGGCTGCTAAAATAATGGTTATTGTGTAGGTCATTCTGATGATAAACTTATGGTTTTCTCTTTTCTTGTCATATGTTGCATTCAAGATCCTAAATGTCAGGAAACGGTTTCTGGGAGGAAGGCATGTTAAGGCAAATAACTTCGACAAAACAGTTCAAGTTGCCAAAACTTTCACAAAAGCAACATGGCTATTCTTCGACTGGGTGCCCATAACTAGATTCATTTAACAGGATCAGTCCATCTCCAAGAGGTTTCTTGCTAAATTGCTTTCAGCTTAAGTGGCTTAAATGTCTGTCATGCCTACTAAAGCTGCTAAACGAGAGTTAAATACCCCCTAACAGCTTCAATAGGCCTGCCAGACATCTAAGCTGATGGAGTTGATTGCAATTTAGCGATAATCCCCTTGGAGACAGATTGATTCACAGTTAGATTTCGGGAATAGTCCCTTCAACTCTCCAAGAATAATTGATTGATGTTTTTTTCTCAGAATTTAAAAGTTTAATATTGATATAACAATAATATGATCATAGAACATTTAATGAAAAATTTAACTTTTAATGTTTTACTTTGGATTGTGTTTGTATCTACTGTATATTCATACATTTTCACAATCATTTAATTAGAATTGTAAATTAATTGAAAGATTAATTAGTTGTTTTTTTTTATTCTGTAATATCTGCAACTACTTATCTGAGATAATACAACGTTGTATGACAGTTAAAACAAAACTGCAAAATATGATTTGATTACACAGGGACCTCTGATTATATATTGAATATGTAGACAATGAAGTGAAATTTTTATTATTATTATTATTATTATTATTCAGTGCTATATTAAAGTTGCTGAAAAAGGATAAAAGTTACACCTGGCTCAAAATGTGATACTATATTATTATTATTATTATTATTATTATTATTATTAATGATAATGATAATAACAATTATTATAACAACAACTGTTTTCAAAAGGTTGCTTTTACATGAATACACGCATAGCCACAGCTCTTTGGTCATATGATTTGTGTATATAGAATAATTTTTAATGTTTATGTAAGTCAAAAATTGTGGCTGAACTAAAAATGTACAGATAAGGTTAGAAGAAATCTTATTGTCCAATAATATTCAAGAGGTGGCTTAAAAATTATCAGAGCTCATGTCCTACAAACAGAATTAGCATCAAATGGGTCGTTAAGTTCTCCTGGGGATGGTCACTGGAGAGTGATCCCGCACTTCTTGTATGGGCAGTTAGAAAAAGGTTGATTAACCCAGATAATATCGTAAATCTTGGTCTTTGTGGTGAGTTTTATCAACAAATTCTGAAGTTATGGATAAGGCACAGCGATTGTTAAGGTGGATCTATTTTGTGGAACAACACCTAAATCATGCAGGATATTTTACTATATTTTATGTTTTACTCGTTCGATAAAAAATGAAATAATTTATATTAGAGATTTAGTTAAAGACAATAAACGTTGTTCTTATGAAGAAATTTTACAGTTGCCTGGGCAGAATGGAATTACCTTCATGGAACATCAAGTTATAAGAAACTGTATTACTCATCAGTTTATTGAGAATTATGGTAAATCAGGAGAGAATAAGTTAACCTTTAAAGGAATACAACTTAAAGATATTACTTCCAGAGAAGTAAAATTAAAACTTGTTTTGAATAAATCAGAAAATATTATAATCCTTAATGAAAGAGTACCAAGTGTAGTGTGGAATGACATATATTTGGCATGTACTCAATCGGTAATAAGAGCAGTTCAGTGGAAAAAATTTTTGCATGGAATTTATCCAACAGGAAGATACTTAAAGAAATATAAGATTCTAGAACTTGATGTATGCCAATACTGTTCTTCTGTACAGAATAGTATATAGAGAAGAAACTATAGGGAACATATATTTATCAACAGATATGTATAAAAAGATGTATAAAAGATAAGAATATCATTCACCTATGTAAATTTAGAGAAGAAAAAACTGATATCGTGGTATTTTTGAGCAACGCTATTTTTTATTTTAACTTGTATATATATATATATATTGAATTGGTGAATAAATTTTTAATTAAAAAAATTACAATATGTGTTATCCTAGCATAAGTAAAAAAAAAAACACAATTTCCCGTTAATAACAATTATTTCTTTTAAACTTATGGGGTTCATAAATGTAAGAAAGAGAGGAAAATGGTGATAAGTTGGAGAGGGATGTGGCAATGAGAGACTCAATTAATGGCTAAATATCCAGGCACATTGAAAAACAACACACATCCACGTTTTGAGGCTAAAACGCTGTTCGTTGAAATGAATAAAGTATCAAAACCACAGCCGCTGCTACTGTCACTGCTCCACCTTGGTCAGAAACCCGTAGATCACAACAGACCCTTCCTCCTGCGTCGACCACTGGAGCAGTTTACTTTCCTAATTTGGGATCATTTTGTTCTTTTGTGGACATTTTCAGTCCAACTAGCAGTAGTCACCCTATTGAGAAATCCCATGTGGTAATAATTATCTCTATCCGCGCGCAGAAGGCTTTTTATACTTGCTCTACAGGAGTTTGCTTCGCGACGATGTGCTAACTGCGCGTTATTCAACCTGTCTAGGGCTCTGCTGACTGCAGAAACCAGTCACGTGGTTGGAAGGGGTTTCCTGAAATAAGCCGTATCCCACAATTCCGTACTGCAGCTTAAAAAATGGCGGATATCACGTCAGATGTTTGCTCCGTAAAAAAACGAGAAAATAGAGAGATAAGACGTTCTAACAATTAATTATTGGAGGTACTGTCTTTCTTATGCAATCATATAGACTCTGTTTAGTCTTTAATATGCCTTACTTATTACTATTTGAAAAAAAACGTCTCCCGCAGTTACGATATGCTGTAGATTGGTGTTCGCTGGTAGTAGTAATTGAACTACGAATGGCAGCCTTCTAAGTACGTTCGCGGTACAACATTAGTTTGATTTCATAATATCATTATCTGTGACATTAGTACACTGCGCCCGTATCGTAGGTTAAGGCAACGTGATTTGGGTAAAATCTTATCTTCTTAAATAAATATAACTTTGATTTATACTCAAGAGTTCAATTGTAGTGGGACCGAAGAGTGGGTCGTACACAAGTTCTTTGAAAGTGGTCAAGTTAGAGAGGACATTCGGCATGGACTCTTCTAGAAATGGAAGCAGCTGGAATCGTAGGCTTTTCCCACCTCCTGTAGGAATGCCAGCATACACGTCCTTCCCACTGAGTGCAGCACTCACTGCTACAAATTGATGGTCTGTCACCCCTACAAAAGCCCAAATTTTTCTTGCTATCCGATCTGCTTCTTCTCGCTCCATACCATAACAATGCTCTCGGGCTGCTAGTATTTATACCCCTACAACTACTTCAGGGTATCCCTCAGTTAGCCTCACTCCGAAGTAACATGCTACTCATAGGGGGCTATTTTATCTGTCACAGAAGAGCAGGTGATTAAGGCCAGAGCAATTAACTGTCTAGGTTGTTGTCAAGCAGACTTAGACTGGACCTGCTAAGTGGCAGTGCCTGGGCGGTTATGCAAACAATTACCAGCCATGTAATCAGCCTTGAGATTTCTCAACAGGGTGACTACAGACCAAAATGACCTCTGTAGAGACATATCTGGGTTGGGCAAGGGTAAGAATCAGTAAAATATTTACGGTTGCAAGCAGAAAAAGAAAATTCATTTCAAGTAATGCATACTAAAAAGGAAAATATGAAATAGAAATGGACTCTTAATACAGTTATTATTTTTTCTATTCTTATTTTATTATTTATTTTTCTATTCTAATAATAGCAAATTACAATGTATCTTTATAATTTGAGGATGGGCACTTTGCCAATGGTTACAAACACTGATTCTTTAGTAATTAATGGGCACAGAATCAATCCCCTACAATCAATTCACTACATGGAGTTAGACATTAATGACAGAGACACTATGGCCGAGCATATATGTTTAAGATTGGGTTTTCATCCCTAGATCAATCTAACAGGATCAGTCCATCTCTAAGAGGTATCTTGCTAAATTGCTTTCAGCTTTAGTGGCTTAGATGTCTGGGACGCCCACTAAAGCTGATAAACGATAATTAATTACCCTATCAACCCCAGTAGGTGTGAAAGACATTGTAGCCACTTCAGTTCATTGCAATACATTGATAATCCCCTTGGATATAGTACGATAGTCTCTGGGAATGGTCCCTTATACATAAACGTCAATATAATAAAATGAGCTTTGTTCGCTATTTTCATTTATGAGAGTCAAGTAAAATTTGAAAAGTGCTAGGATAATCCCGCAAACATCTGCATTAACAAAGCTTATTGACCAATCAGTTTCCTGACCTACCGGTACCAGGGTATAAATATTACAGTCACATTCGTGTTAAAAACAACAGCAACAACAGCCAAATGACAGCATATAGTTTCTAATACTATAAAAAAGAGAACTGCCAAAAGACATTGCTCGATATTTGTAAACATGATATTTGTATAGATTTTTTATGCTAGCTTTCTATGATGTATATACATGAGGCAGAAAAGTAGGTCACATAAGTAGGGGAACTTTCTGACCAAAAAATTAAAGAAAGGAGCAGTCTAAAGCTCATTTATGGCTGATCGAGTGATTTATTCAGTTTGACCCTTGGCATGTCGACTTAATTTGAGTGGTATAAGAAACTACATGTACATGTATTAGAAGTGGTTTATATGTGTTACTGGGAATTCACGCTCCACCGATGCTCAGTTCCCGTGTACCTTTAACCTTTATCTGCAGAATTGAACTATTAGTGATAACACCGAAACGTACATGCGGTTGATTGACTTGTTAGATAACCTTTACCTACAAAACTGGGTCATTACTATCTGATGACAACAAGTTACTCACATCTCTTAGGCAAGTGTCTTTTATTAATGTATAACATGACTTAGACTGGGTTTCCATGCCTAGATCGATCCCTCTGGATCGATCTTACTCCCTGGGGAGTCCCACTAGCTGTCGACTAACCGGCTTTGGTGTCTGTCGCACTAAATCAGCTAGGGGGTAAAGATGATCTTTTATTTTCCAGATCTAAGACAAAATGGCAGTTACTGCAACACCACAAAATGAGAGAGAAAATGCAATTCGAATGGGGCTACTGATACATCGTTCTAACGATGTGCTTCAAGATGTTCTCAGTACACAGTTACAAACAGCTTATATAGGTGTATTCGATCCTACAAAAGGCAACAAGTTGTTTGGTATTCTTGGCGACCAAAAAGCAAAGCATATTTTGCTCCGTTTGAAAAAACGAAATATTTTGAATTCCAGTCAAATGAAGCTTCTGTACCCCTCTGGGAATCCCTCCACAACTGTGACATTGAAGGACTTAGATTTAACTCTTACAGTTGTCTTCTTGAGAAACATCACAACACTGAACCCAAAAGCCAGCTGGGAGAATCCTCCAGCAACAGACACCTCCGTGGAAGCCCAGATTGGCAGAGTGAAGAAATATCGCAACGAATTCGCACATGGGGGCCCCGGTCTCACAGATGCAGAATTCAAGGACAAGTTCACCGAATTGAAATCTCTTTTGTTGTCTCTGTCTCCACTCTACTCCAGTGAAGACTACGACAAGTTGCTGACTGATCCACTACATGCAGCAGGTAGATTTAACTAACAAACCCATATAATAGACTATGAATGAGCGTTTTCTTAAAGATTAAAAGGGTATTGTAAGCCTTTATTGTCATACAGATACAGAAAATAAGTTTTCCCTGTACCTAATTATTCAAGAATATATCTATATTGGTGTTGACTTAAAACAATAAAAAGCTTCAACATTATTATAATGCCTTTGTATTTTGAGATAAGATAGCAATCCGTATAGGTTGTAATCTCATCTCGAACAAGATTCTGTCAAGAAAATTGGCATATTTCACCAAGAGTGAAGGAGCTACCATCCTGTATCGTAATTTTTAATTTGTTTATTTATTCATTTATTATTATTTTTTGTTGTTTTGTTATGGAATAATGAGCCCCTTATTACAGATTTTTATTTAGCAAAGGTTTTATTTTGCGTTATCAATGATTAAATCTGAACTAAACATTTTTACAAAATAAGTACTAAATGGTGTCATTGAATTGGTGTTAAATGGTGTTCCTGGATGCTCAGGTAAAGGAGAAATTTGAAAAAAAGGTTTTTCAATTTTTACCTTAAAATAGCAATTATGACGTCACATGTAAGTTAACATGTGTAAGTGTTGCACTGGCCATAGAAAATTTATTGTCCAAAAGAATCTATGAAAGGTTGTAAATAAGACTTTTGGCAAAAGCTAACAAAAGTCCTTACATAATGATGGTGATGATCACATCTTCCCTCGTCTGGACTGAATTTTCTAAGGAATTTTTTGAGCATTGTGAATTAAAACAAATATTGACATGTGGTGTCATGAATGAGTTTGGCAGATGGCTGGTCTCTCTGAATGTCTTTCTATTCATTTTGCCACCAATTTAACACAAGAGACAATGTCATATCTAGTCCATGTAATATTTATGTCCTAGTTTTGCTACTTTGTCGAAATAGACGTTGCTAATGAGGTAAAGGATGACAATTATGTGCTTGAGTGTGTGTGTGCATGTGTGTGAAATCACCCTTTAAATATCAAGTTGACGTTATAGACGAGTCACATGTTTTATATTTCTTTGCATCACAATACGATCACACACCTATTTTTCTCATTTCAGAACCACCTTGTGAGCTCCTTTCCACTTCCCTTCCAAATAGAAATCTGACGTTGAAGGGACGCAAAGATTTGGTGCAAAAAATACTGGGGCAGGTTTCAGATGGCACCCAACTCATTTTGCTGACAGGGATGGGTGGTATAGGTAAAACAAGCACGGCTATCGAGGTTGGACATCACAGAAAAGATGTTTTATATATTGACATGGAAAAAGTTTTAAATCTTGAATCTGTCAAACTGTCACTGGTATATTACTACCAGCCAGCTATTTTTTTGAATGACGTTTACAAAGATTATGAAAACAAACTCATACACACTATGTCTAGTTTGAATACAGAAACTCTTCTTATCTTTGACAATAATGACAGTATTTTGCACTCACAAAAACACAAGTTTCTGCAATTACTGCAAGATTTAATGGATTCATCTAAGTTTATCACACTGTTATGCGCCAGTCGTGAATCCTTTAGTCTTCTGTCACATACGACAGTTACTGTAGACATTCCTCCTCTTGATAAAATATCTTCACTAAAAGTTCTTTGGGGAGAAATCAGTCCCACAGATAGTGAATTAGAAGCTTTAGGTGAAATAGCAGACAGATGCGGCCATAACCCTCTTGCACTGCAACTGCTTGCTGGCCAAATTAAACTCAAAACAATAAACACCGTTTTAGAGGAAATAAAACAGAAAAATGTCCTCACCATTCTACAGTTATCTAGCACTCCAACGCCTTTAGATAAGTCTTATGAAACACTGAATCCCTTAGAGCAGAGGGTATTTAGGGGACTGTATATATTTCCCATCGCATTTACTTCAATTGAGGTTTCTGAAATTTTAGAAATAGATGAGAATGAATGTGAATCTGTCCTTGGGAGTATAACCATTAAATCCCTCTTGAACTCCGATGAAAATACCTATGATCTACATCCTTTGCTAAGAGACTATGCAGAATCTCATGCAAATACAAGCAATGAAATCTCTCATACACAAGAGAGATACTGTGATTATTACATAGGTCGTCTCAAACACCTATACAATGTGCATCAAAGCAGTGCTGCTGAATTGGAATGTTTGGCAAACATGTCACCCCATCTAGATAAGACAGCCAGTTTGCTCAAATCAAGGTTGTACTCATCTGAGATACAACAGAGAAAAGAGGCATTCATAAATTTGCAACTCATCGCAGAGGTGTTCCATAATCTTTCACTTAATCAAAAAGCTCTATCAATTTATCAGACAGTAGTAGATGGAATGGAAAGCCATTCGGAGTACGCTCAGATTGATGTAGAAAAAGTGAACAGCAAAATAGGTGCTGTGCTGCAAAAAATGGGTGAGTACAAAAAGGCACTTGCTTTTCATAAAAAATCACTGGATGTTAGGGAAGAACTTTTAGGTCCTAAACACCCTGATACTGCTAACTCATACATCAATATTGGTAGTGTACTGCAAGCCATAGGTGAATATAGGGATGCACATGCCTATTACAGAAAATCACTGGATGTGAGGGAAGAAATTCTAGGTCCCAAGCATCTTGATACTGCTACCTCATACAACAATATTGGTAGTATACTTCAAGCCAAGGGTGAGTACAAAGAGGCACATGCCTATTACAAAAAATCACTGGATGTTAGAGAAGAAATTCTAGGTCCCAAGCATCTTGATACTGCTACCTCATACAACAATATTGGTAGTATACTTCAAGCCAAGGGTGAGTACCAAGAGGCACATGCCTATTACAAAAAATCACTGGATGTGAGGGAAGAGCTTCTAGGTCCTAAACACCCTGATACTGCTACCTCATACAGCAATATCGGTAGTGTACTGCAAGCTAAGGGTGAGTACAAAGAGGCACATGAATATTACAAAAAATCACTGGATGTGAGGGAAGAGCTTCTTGGTACCAAGCACCCTGAAACAGCTGGTTCATACAACAATATAGGTGCCGTATTGCAATACATTGGTGAGTACAAAGAAGCTCTACTGTATCACAAAAAGTCACTTAATGTGAGGGAAGAGCTTTTAGGTCCCACACACCCTGATACTGCCACTTCACATAGCAATATTGGCAGTGTACTTCAAGCCACGGGTGAGTACAAAGATGCTCAAGCATATTACAAAAAATCACTGGATGTGAGGGAAGAGCTGTTAGGTGCCAAACATCCTGATACTGCTGCCTCGTACAACAATATTGGTAGTGTACTACAAGCCATGGGTGAGTACAAAGATGCTCAAGCCTATTACAAAAAATCATTATATGTGAGGGAAGAACTGTTAGGTCCCCAACACCCTGATACTGCCACCTCATACAACAATATCAGAAGTGTATTGGAAGCCATGGGTGAGTACAAAGAGGCACTTGCCTATCACATAAAAAGCCCGAATGTGAAAGAAGAACTGCAAGGTCCCACACAACCTAATACCGCTACATCATACATCAATATTGGTAGTATACTGGAAATCATGGGTGAAAACAAAGAGGCTTTTGACTATCACAAAACATTACTGGATGTGAAAGAACACCTTTTAGGTCTTAAACGCCTTGATACTCCTACCTCAAACAACAATACTGGTGCTGTACTGCAAGGCATGGGTGAGTACAAAGATGAACTTGCCTATTACCAAAAATGTCTAAATGTGAAAGAAGAGCTTTTAGGTCCCAAACATCCTGATACAGTGGCCTTATTCAACAAGGTTGGTGTTGTTCTACAAGCCATGGGTGAGTACAAAGAGGCACTTGTCTTTCATAAAAAATGCGTTTGTGTGCGAGAAGAACTTCTGGGTCCCAACCACCCCGATACTGCCGCCTCATACAACAACATTGGCATTATACTGAAGTCCATGGGTGAGTATAAAGAGGCACTCGCCTTTTATAAAAAATGTTTGGATGTAAGAGAGAAGTTTCTTGGCACCAAACACTCTAGTACTGCTGCCGTATATAATAATATAGGTGTTGTACTGTACGCCATGGGTGAGCACAAAGAGGCACTGGCCTATTTCAAAAAGAGCTTGCATGAGAGGAAAGAGCTGTTAGGTGCCAAACAACTTGATACTGCTTCCTCATACAACAACATAGGCATTGTACTAAAAGCCATGGGTGAGTATAAAGAGGCACTTGCCTTTTACAAAAAATGCTTGGATGTGAGAGAAGAGGTTCTTGGTACGAAACACCCCGACACCGCTGCTTCATATAATCATATAGGTGTTGTCCTTCAAGCCATGGGTAAAACTAAACAGGCCCTTGACTTTCATAAGAAATGCTTGAAAATTAGAAGAGAGTTTCTAGGTCATAAACACCTTGATATTGCAACCTCGTACAATGATATTGGTGTTGCTCTACAAGCCATGGGTGAGTACAAAGAGGCACTTGCCTATCACAAAAAATGCCTGGGTGTAAGGGAAAAGCTTATAGGTCCTAAACACCCTGATACTGCTACCTCATACAATAATATTGGTTGTGTACTACGAGACATGGGTGAGTACAAAGAGGCATTTGCCTACTGCAAAAAATGTCTGGAGTTGAGAAAAGAGCTTCTTAGTCCAAAACACCCTGATACAGCTTCCTCATACAATAATTTTGGTAGTGTACTGAAAGCCATGGGTGAGTACAAAGAGGCCCTTGCCTATTACAAAAAATGCATGGAAATTAGAGAAGAGCTTCTAGGGCCCAAACACCCTGATACTGCAACCTCATACAATAACATCGGTTGTGTACTACAAGCCATGGGTGAATACAAACAGGCACTTTCATATTGCAAAAGTTGCCAGGAGGTAAAAGTAGAGGCGCTTGGTCCCAAATATCCTGGTGCGGCTGCCTCATACAACAATATTGGTTGTATACTTAAAGGCATGGGTGAGTGTAAAGAGGCATTAACCTATTTAAAAAAAGGCCTGGAATTGGCGGAAGAACTACTTAGCCCCAAACACCCTGATACTGCTGCCATATACAACAATATTGGTAGTGTACTAAAAAACATTGGTGAGTACAAAGAGGCACTTGCCTATTACAAAAAATGCTTGGAAGTACACGAAGAACTGCTAGGTCCCAAACACCCTCATACTGCTTATACATATAACAATATTGGTTGTGCACTAGAAAACTTGGGTGAAAGCAAAGAGGCACTTGTCTTTTACCAAAAATGTATAGAATTGATGGAAGAGGTGGTTTGTCCCAGACACCCTAATATTGTCGCCTTTTACAACAATATATGTAGTGTACTGCGAGCCATGGGTGAGTATGAACAAGCATCAGTATATCAGAAAAAATATCTGGAAATAAGTGAGGGAAGGGCTCCAAGGCCTTAAGCTTCCTAATACTGCAACCTCTTATAAAATGCTATTTGATTAATGTACACTCCTGCTCAAGATGATACAATTCTCCAAATGGAAATTGCATCTAAAGCCCCAGTCACTCTTATTCGGAATCAGAAGTAATCAAGCAGAATGTGCCGGAAAAAATTCAAAAAAATTCAAAATTCACGCCACATTCGGCAGGAAATATCACCTAATGCCCTAGTTACACTAGATGCGGAATGAGCTAGAATGTAGTAAGAATGAAAATTCTATGTATATTCCAGGATATTTGAATTGTGTTGTAAAAATTCTGAGTGCATTCCAAATATTCTTTGCTCATGCTCAAAACTTTTGAAGTGCATTCCAATTGGAGAAACATTGATTGGAATTCTAAGTGTATTCTAAGTGCACTATGAGTAATACTTAATATTCTTAGAGAATCCCAACAGTATTCGAATCATTTTGATCACGAGGGAGAACTGAAATGGCAAGACACTTCAAATCCTGCTAGAATGAGCCGCAAGGCAACTAGAATGCATCTCGATGTCTGCCCAAATCCTATTTAAGCCATTTCAAACTACACTCGTACGGCATTCAAAGTGTATTCTAAATATTCTGACAGCATTATCGATATTCCTAGTTTTCCAACTACATTTGAGCTGCATTTGAGAGCTAATGCACCCGAAATGTGCACAAATCATTCCAGGCAGATTCAAGCACATTATGAGTATTCCAACGGTATTCTCACAAAAATTTAGATCAATTTGAAATTTCTCCCCGAATGTGGTGCGAACTTTGAAAATTCTTTATTCCTTCTCATTCTGCTTGAATACTGCAGATACTGAATAAGTGTGATGGGGCCTTGAAACCTTCCTGGAATGATTTGTGCACATTTCAGGTGTTCATGTATGAGTGCTCAAATGCAGCTTGCATGTAGTTTGAACACATAAGGAATATTGATGATGTATGCAGTGAGAATATTTAGAATACACTTCAATTGCAGCATGAGTGCAGTTTGATTGTTGGCCGAAATAGGATTTTGTAAGCAATCCCGCAAGAAAACGCAGTAGATACTCCAGCGCAGTAGACTACTGCATTCATACTGCAAACATGCCTCAAATCTGCTTTGATTTGGGAGCTAATTAGCATATTTGAAACATGCTTCTATCATGCTGCTAATCTACTGCATTAATGCTCCTCTCTCTACAAACCTATGTACTTTTTGGAGTAGAATTGCAGTAGGCTATATTGCATTTCTACTGCAAATATGCTCCACACCACTACTGCGTTAATGCTTCTTTGCTACTTCGATACTAATGCATTTTTGTGCGGGATTGAGATGCATTGAGTTGCATTCCGGGTCATTTGAGGTACATACAGAACATTATGATTGGATTTGAAGTGTCTTATCATTTTGGTTCTCCCTCGAATGCGACCAGAATGTTTCAAATGCTATTAAGAATGCACTTATAGTGCAGTTAGAATACACTTAAAATACCATTCGATATTTTTTCCACTTGGAATACACTTTGAAAGTTTTGAACATGAGCAAAACATTAGGACTGGACACAAGAATAGATCCATATGTGGGGAATGCACTTAGAATTTTTAGAACGCACTTCAAATACCCAGGAATATACAAGGAAATTTCATTTTGACAACATTCCAGCTCATTCCACTTCTAGTTTGACTAGGATATAAGATTTAAATAAATTCAAACTAAGACAAAATGTAATTTTTAAACCAGCTCTTTTGACCTCAATTATAATTCTGTGTTCTAAGTTCAAGTCACAAAATTTTGGGGGATTTTAATTCCTTTGGATAAGCTCTTGGGATCAAATATATTAAGTGGAATTATCGGTAATTTATAGAAAAATCAAAGGTTATGTTAAAGAAAGCAGAGATTAAAGGAGAAAACAGTCATTCAAAGGCAATATTGTACTGTAAAAATTGGTCTCGGGTAGCTGTTACAAACCTGGATGTTGTAATCTATTCTTAGAGGTACTGACGTGACTGGTTTCTGGTGCTAATTGGCTCATATTAACATAACCCTTTGCATGAATGCCTACTTCAGGTCATTTTTTGTAGTTGCCTCTGACATTTTTCTCTTCCCTAAAGTTCGGTCTGTAGCACCCCAATGGTGCTATGGCAGTGAGGTTTAAATCAGAAAAAAAAAACAGACCAGTATACTTGTTCAATTTCCTGGGGACTGAAGAATTATTCTGTTCAGTGATATAGTTGAGATGGATCATGTCATATTGTAATTAAAACGTACAACCAAAATGATCCATATTCTACATCCATATTTAGCAAACTTTATTACTGATTGCCTTAGCCAGGTATATCAGTGATTTTGTGAAAATTTAAAGATTTTGAAAAGTATTCCATTTTTTGAGTAAGAGTGTACATAAAGAAATGAGCAAGAATACATTACGTTAGAGAGTAGCTATAAACAGATTCCCAATAATGGTTTTGTAGTGAATAATTAACTTCCTGCAATCCACCGTTAGTTAATGAATATCAGGATAATCTGGCCAACTATTTTTTAAAACTTATCAACATTTTAAAATATTACTTACCATGCAATTTGCGAAAATTTAGTAATTCATTTGAATTTTTTGTCTATGAGACATAGCACCAGAGAGCCCAGCTAATTCATTTTCATATGCATCTTCTGTAAGTAAAAAGAGTTTGAATTCAATCTTGCATATCCTTACTTCTCCCAGATTATCCTGATATTCACTATAACTATATCCAGATTTTTGGAATAGTCCTCATTTCCCCCAGAACATCTACATTCCCCGAGCAAAAAGAATCAACCCTAATGCAGTGAATCAATATTTTTATTCAATTTATAAAAGGATTTTTCACAAAAAGTTACTAATTGTACAACCAAATTGTAACACTGCCAGCTCGCCTACGCCACAGTAGCAAATACTCCCCATGGCATGACTTATGTACTGTGAATCTTGTCTACCAGCCACAGAAAATTGGGAATTTACTTCCTACAAGTTGTTCTCCAAACCCTTTCGCACCCATCACTTCTCACAATGCTTAGCCTGCTTTCCTCTGAGAACAGTATCTTTTCCCAGTTATTGTCTAGTGCCTATGCCAGTGTTCAGGTATAACACCTGGTACACCGTAGAAGGTCCCTGGTCGCCTGACAGCAAACTTTCCAAAATAAAGTCTTATGTCAGTAAACTTAGAATTACGGTGTGCCCTAGTCTTGTTAAATGTTGCAGTCAAGATTTTAAATGTCAGGAAAAGTTTCCTAGGAGAAAGGCTTGTTAACACTCTTTCTTCTATGGGTGTGATTTCCTTTTGTTGGCCTTATCCAGGCAATTTTGCCCGTATGCCTTTTTGGCTATGATGTTGCCTGACCCTCTGAATGCTGCTCGTGGAGCAACCCAGCCTTCTAGCAATTTGGAGAGTCAAAACTCCTATATCGATCATTTGGTAAAAGTTATCCATCTCAAGTTGGTTTATTTCATTGTTCACGCTAGGTACATTTAGGTCGGTCTTCTACTACTCACATTCCCAATTTAAACAATAATAAGTTACCTATTTCTGATGTCATACTAAAAATGAATCCAATGGTACCCTTGTAGCAATGTAGAGAAATGCGATAGGGGGTAGGTTTTTTTGTCAAGTATACATAGACCAAACCCCGACTTCTTCAAGAACCTCTGAGAGCTCCTATATTCTCCAAGAATATCTATGTGATCACAACTGTTACAACAAAAGTAGACGTAGACTCCGTTCACATGAAAAATCTCTTTTCTAAAAATCTATTTTCTATTCGCGGTATATTGTGATCAATCCGAGTACAGCCGAGAATTAATTACAGCTTTGGAAGTAACTGGCTGGCGCTGCTAGTAATTACGCCGCGGGGTATTCAGGGCACAGACCATGATCACAAGATACTGCGAATAGAAAATAGATTTTTAGAAAATAGATTTTACATGTGAACGGTCCCGTAGACTATTCAAGTAGCCCCGACTTTCACAAAAGTATCTGGCTGCTCTTCAAATCTTCAAAATTAAATGTTTTTTTTAATTGAAATCTTAAATATTTGTTTCGTACATTTTGTACATAAAGTACATTATGATGAAAAATTGAAGCTCTTAATGTTTAACGTATGTTTGTGTTTACTTTGAGTTTTAATATATATGTATATAAAGAAAAATATATTAATTTAGCGAAAATTGAATTAATTATTTTCTATTCTGTAATTTTTGCAACTACTAATCTGTCTGCTTCATAGGCCCTACATTGTTGTATGGCAGCGCAAAAAATGATGCCAAGTATTACTTGAATGCACAGGGACTACAGGTTACATGTTTAATATAGGCTAAAATAACTGCTACTAACTACAGATTCTTTATTATTTGGGCCTCAATGTATGTATGTATGTATGTATGTATAATTATTATTATTATTATATTGATAAGGTTGTTTTACATGAATTCATAGATAGATATTGCTTTTTAGCAATAGGAAATTATTGGTATATAAAATGATAATTTACGTTTATGTACTTCATTTACAGAAAATGTGTCATCATTTCATTTTGAAAAATTAGGAAGTATTTGTAATAGTGCATGGGACATTGAACATACATCTTTGCTTACAAAAAATATATTGTCACAGTTATTATTCATATTCTGAAAGCTACAACAGATTAATATATTAATTATGTAGACTATGAGCTCATGTATGTTTAGATATGTGTATGGAACACTAATAACGTGTCTTTGTCTACTGAAAATATGAAATCAATATATTAATGTATGAAATTAGGTGTATGCAGAATATGTTTATAGCTATCTGTAAAAAATGTCTGTTTACCTTTTTACCCAAGACAAATCACTAATTGAGATTCCTACTTCATTCATACTTATAAAGTTAAAAACATGGCCAGACCAGATAAATAACGTTACTATTATGCTACCATGAAGTTTATATATATATATGGTAATCTTATGATATTTTTCTGTACTTGCTGGGAGTCTGAACTCATCATTTGCATATAACTTATATTGAAATTAGATAAATCAGAATTATAAGACACAAATACTAGAAGTCAACAAGACTTACTTGATCCTAATTCTTGCCAGACCCAAAAGCTTATTGGCAATCTGAAACGGAAGAACTGAAAGTTTTACCGGATTTTTAAAAATGTAATTTTGTATAACATTTATATAATCTACCTTAAGGATATGTTTTCCAAAATGAATTTTAAAGAGTACACTGTTAGCAATGGAGTTTTTTTAAGTGTAAAACCTAAATGATTCAGAAATAAACATCGCATTGAAAACAATGTAAATGATTTGGTATTTTTACTTTAGGTTTAAGTAATTTTTTTTTTTTTTTGTTTGTTTGTTTTTGTTTGTTTGTTTTTTTTTTTTTTTTCTTTTTTTTTTTTTTTTTTTTTTTTTTTTTTTTGGTCTTTAACAGAATTGTATGTCCTGTAATACATTGTGTATTGATATGAATGTTAATAGCTAAACATAAAGTGTCCCTGCATGGAAAACTAGCAAAAAGATGCAGGAAAATTAGAACTATTAGAAACTGTTAATTACATAGTCGCGATATAAAAAGTACAACGTTGCATTATTCAGCAGTGAAAGTAATATGTTATTTGCCCTTAATTTGGAAATGATAGCATAAGGCTCCGGTCAAAAATGTGACTGAATTTCATGAAATTCGAACATCTTGAATTTGTGAGCACCTCCCATTTCATGAATTTCGACCAAAACAATATTTTCGTTATGTCAATTAATTTCTTTTGTACAAAATTCATGGCATATTACTTTAACTCCAAAATTAGCAAAGGTAACCATAGTTACCATTGAACTTGAACAGGAAGTTATATACTAGCAATCCAACTGTGATAAATATATTTACTGTCAGTAATACGTCATTGTGAAATTTGTGACCAAAATGTTATCACCCATGTGCACCAAGGGTTATTACACTCTACCAAGGCCTCATATTGATTACATACACTTTTTCACAAGCGAGAATGTGCCATGAATTAGTCAAAGACGTATCTGTGAATATCTAGTGATAAACCAATCTGTGGGCCTGGTAGAGGGTAAAGTAGAAAGAAACCCCACGGACGCCTAGTGAAATGGCATTCGGACGTTTTTAAAGAGCTACAGTATATGGAAAAAAAGTGCCTTTTGTTTGGAAACAGTTGAAAGAGTACGGATGAAGAGAGAGAAGACAAGCAAACCAAAATAACCGTAACCGCAAGCAAACCATAATAAAGAGTAAAGAACAGACAGACGAATACCCAAAGAATTTATATAATAAACCTTCATATCATACTAGTTTTGGAAGCATAACTAAACTGTATCACAATGTACGAAAAAAACAAAAGGAAAATTACATATAAAATAATCAGAGAGTTTTTGGCATACTAATATACATTTACATTATTTGCACTCGTGAGGAAACGCTTTAAAATGAAACGCGACGTCGGACGGAAGCATCAACAATGGCAGGGGCACTTGGCTGATCTCAGCACAATATCAAAATACAACAAGGGCATGTTATTTTTAACAGTAATTAATATTTTTTTTCCAAATTTTACTCGATCGTTGCTATCAACGTAAAAAAACTGCTGATAGTGAAGTACAAGCGTTTAAAAATATTTCACCCGATGAGAGAAAACCAGTAATACTTCAAAAAGATGCTGGGACAGAATTAATAAACAGGAAATTCCAAGCACTCTTTCAGGAACAATGAGCAATGGATTTTTAGCACATAAATTGAAAAAGTTCAGTTGTTGAACGCTGTAACAGAATGATAAAATCTCATGTTCAAATATTTTACAGCAAGCAATACGTTAAAATATGTAACAGCACTGGGCGAGTTAAAGACTGGAAATAACCATGCCAAACACCGTATCATTCCTATGACCCCTCTCAATGTAAACCCACGAGGGACACTGAAGTTAGTGTCCAGTTTCTAGTTTCCAGTGTCTGAGAAGCCAGAATCGTTTGTCGAAGAGAAACAGGGTGTTTAGGTGGGTGGGGTGGCGAGGATGAGGGTTAGGAGGGGAACCCCCCCCCATAAACCTGTTAACACTGTTATTTGCCTTCTGGTGTTGTTTTATATATATACTTTGTTGACCTTGATTGTAGCTTATATTATGTAAGTGGTTATTTTCTTCATTCAGTTGCAGATGTGATTTGCAACTACCTGTAAGATTTATGTGATAAATCATCGATGATGTTTAACTGTATTTTTATACATGTAGTTCACATACTTATAATAATTTTTATTCTTTTCACCAGACCCGTTGTGCGGGTTGTTACTTTTTTATGCTGTTTGGCTTTTATGGACGCTATGTAACTTATTTTCGGTTAATTTTATGTATATATATATATAGCTGTTTTTTGCTCGTTTGCAATTGGTCACTATCCATTTGCTTGTATTATATTGTAGTTACCAGTTATCCTATATTTGCCGTTGTGGTTTCTGGTCGACATGGCTTACATGTATATTATCTGTGAGCTGTTATGCTCCTTTATGATTGGTCACTATCACGTAACCATATATATATATATATATATATATATATATATATATATATATATATATATATATGTTGTTGCCTTGTTGGAGTTACCGGATAGCCTATTGGCCGGCAGGTCCACAAGGATGTATTGTTGTTGAGCTGTTATTGCTCCTTCGGATGGGTTTCCATCCATGTGTTTTTACCTTGTAGGAGTTACCATTCATTTAATTTTATGATGTTACTATCCCCCATTTTGTAACTTATTATCATATTACATTTCGTCATTTTAATAAATGACAATATCAGTCATATTAAGTTATTTCTTATTTGATTTTTAACAAAAACTGTGCTTCGTTGTGCTTTTGAACATTTGGCGACATAAAGGCGACATAAAGGAATTTTCTTATTTATACTCTAATTTTCTCATTTGCAAGTGACACATTTTTAAGCTAAAGATGTCCCCATAACACTACCATGTAGTATTTAGAGATTTAAAGATAATTTATATAAGCTAAAATGACCCAAAATTTCCTTCTTGAGTTCTCCTGGAAATGTGGAATTTTTTTTTCATTCGAACGATGGCAGAAGGTACCCGTGAAGACTCAAATTTCCTTCTTGAGTTCTCTAGGAAATGCGGAATTTCTTTCTCGTTCGAACGATGGCAGATGGTAACCGAGAAGGAGGATCTCTCGAGACGGTGGTGAAAGCACCTGTTCCAACTGTGCGATGACGATCGCAGAATCAGATGCATTCAACATTCTTCTTGTTGTCAATTACACGATGCTGAGTTAAGAACAGAAAATTGTCGGAGTTCTGGAAATTAATCAAATTGTTCAAGTAATTTGTTGTGTTTGATTCACTTGTTGGGTGACGACAACTACAGACTTAGATTAACTTCGTCACTCATGGCGAGAATCCGCTTATTGTTTACCCTTAATTAAAACACCGTATAAGCTTGTCCCTATGATTAAAACGCTAGCAGAAATGTTATCACGCAGTGACAATTAGCTGGAATGCAACTTAGACGCCCTCAATCATATCTCCACCGCCGCCCTTCTCCAGACGGAATCTGTATGTGTCTCGGGAAATGATGTGCTGTAATTGATTGAAACATTTAGATAAATATCATTATTGTCAGGAAGAACGGCATTATGAAATGTGTGACTAAAATGTTTTCGCCCATGTGCACCTTATTACCCTCTACCATGGCCGCATATTAATTATATGCATTATTTCACCAACGCGAATGTACCATGAATTAACCATAGACATATCTGTGAATATCTAGTGAAAAATCTATAGGCCTGGTAGAGGGTAAAAAAGACAGAACCCCAATGCCACCTGGTCAAACGACAATCAGACTCTTAAATTATGGAAGAAAATGCGTTTGGTTTGGAAACGGTTGAAACGGTAAGGATAAAGAGAAGACAAACAAACACAAATAACAATAAAAGTAGGGGTCGGCTGACAATAACCTACAAAATTCATATCAAAACTGTATCACGAGGCACGAAGAAACAAAACTAAAATTACCCATACGAAAATCAGAGAGCTTATGGCAAATGCATTTACTGCTGTAAATAAACAAACACACCCATTTCCCCTCATATTGAGGGGCAAACATTCACCAAAAAGCATTTCCAAAGCTCTTTGTAAGCTCCAAACTGGGTTAAGCAGCTTACTATATTATACCAGATGACCTACATTATATGAGGAACACTCTGTAAAGAGCGTTACATCGTCGTCTACTCCTGCATTGAGTTGGGAACCATCAGTGTCCCTGGACTCAAAACCGGAACCAAGTGGTTATCAGTTATGTTGCCAGATTTCAATTGTACTGGTGCATTGCTCGAATAAGAGTTCACATACATCCGGAGAAGGCCTATGACAGAGTATGGCAAGCACGTGTTGCTTCCAAGAGTGACTAGGGGCAGTGCGAGCATCTGTGTTTAGATCGAAATTCTCGTTGGTGCCGAAACACAATTGGTGGTGCTCATCAACCGAAACCCGAACCACGCCAAATGCAGAATTATTCTGGAAACCACTTGTCTCCCACTTGTTAGAGGTCACCTCAAGAGCAATTATATATACTGTATATCACACTCCCTTACCAAAAAAAAGTGTCACCCCTACCGCAATGAGTAAGTGATACAGAAAATCATGTCATGAAGTTATGTTCTTTATTCAAACATCTGTCATTCTTTATTTGTTTGTATCAGGCACATCAAGCAAAATCGCTGCACGGCCAGTGTTAGCCTTCCTCAATACGACATTTCTTGCTCAGGGAAACCACTACTTATCCGTATTTAGAAAAACACGTTAGAAGATAAACCGATTGCTTGATATCAAATGAAGCTATTTATCAAACACCAGCATTTGTTTCATCTCTCTTTATCTCTTTTTACTTCTCAAATGTGATTGTAAAAGGTATTACAATTTTGTTCGCACGCAAGGAATACAAGTAAAATTTCCTTCGAATTTATCTTTGAAAACGTTAATGGCAAATCATGCTGAAGTCAACATTTTTTTTAATTGCTAGTGATCATTTCAATTGCAATTAATGTTAATAGAACTTTGTATTAAGAGTTAATTGTCTAAGTTAATTTTCAGATCAAATATGAATGCGTAACATGCCTTTATTTGTAGAGGAAAAATCTTCCCATAAATTATTCGCCAAAACATGGAGGAAAAATCATTTTAAAAAAACCCTGCTTGTCTAAATATGTTTATTTTATTTGAATCTGTCTGAATAGCTTTAGGTTTATCTGAATGGTTCTGAATATCGTAAGTTTCAGGGTTATTTATGTATCTGAATGTCTTTAGGCTTATTTCAATCACTCCTTAGTAAGACCGGTATTGATAACAGATTATGTAAGAACTATAAGGATATTTCAGTTTGAATGAAAGGGAACGCAGAGAATCCATACACAAAATGCAAACTGATTCTGAGAGTGAAATGTTCCAAACTACCATAGCTGGGATTTTCTACTTTTTACCCACGGGGATTCGAGTTGGACGTGCTTCGCTGCGGGTCTCGAGAAGAGTGAGAGCTTTGAATGTGAACTTATCCTGGAACTGATCAAAAGTGTAGACCCATTGCCAGATGCACACGGTGCCCCCTTCCTCTTCAATTCTGATTCTTCTCTCTATGGTAGTTTCTGTGTGCCATTGTTGCTGATAAGTGGATGAGAACGAACCGCTGTACTTGGCGCTGGCTGAAATGATTTTGTAGGCAGCTGAAAATGATACCTCCCACGCATGCGTCGTGGTCGAGGAGGAAGATGTGCTGGTGCCAACTTTCACCGAATACATGAGCTCACCCTTGTGTACGTTCAACCAACAAGTGATTTTCTCCCAGAATCCGGAAACGTTGGGGGTTGGCATGATCTTAACCTTTGCATTATGGTTATTTTTCTGCACAAAGTCGAACCTATTGTTTATATTTTTATCTTTGTGTATAATCAGGTCCGACTGCCATCTTGGTTTATCGTGGTTGAAGGGATACGGATGGACATAACTTCCACCAGCATGTTTGATGTAGCCGTTCTCGTCATCGATTGTGAACAGAGCTGAAGAATAGCAAGTAAAATGCGGGAAAATTGCAGTGTCATCATCCGGCTGAGCCGAACGTCCCCAGGGACCCAGACAATGCCCGTTCGTTCCAACCACTTTCAGATAGCCGAAGTGCCCATCGACTTGCTGCCATACCAGTTCGTCGGCATTGCTGCACTTGTCTATTCGGAATTTCTCGTAGTGATGACCCCCGCTCCACCAATCTACATAGTCATAGCACAACCTACTGGACCAATGCCTTACGATGAATGGCGGACTAGTGTAAGCATCTGAAACAAAAATAAAATGTTTTACATTAACCAATTGTCCATACAACTGTTAATCAATAATTCAAGCATTGAAAATGATTTGTAAAGCAGCAATTCAATCAAATATGACAAATCGAAATTTTTTTAGAGCAATAAAGATTGTGGGTGGTGTCTTTTCTGCGTTTATCTTTTCGCAAAAAAAAAGCACTTGTGACAAAACGTGTAGAAACGTGAAAAATAAGTTTGCACTAAACACGACCAGCCGACTTCAAACCTAAAACTATTACAGCTCGCGACTAGCATTTCACAACGTTGAGAAATCCCGAGCGCGACACCTTCTGTTATTTAATGCCAGAAATACATGCATGTATCTCGACTCACCTACTGCAGCCAGCAGCGACAGGGACAGTAGCATCAAAATAAGGAAAAGGCGCATCTTCTCGCAGCGACTAGAGTCAGTCGTGGCTAATTGTTCATCAGCAGAAACAACAGTTACAGGTGAACAAAACGAGCAAAGAACGTGTAATTATAAGGACTCGCGTCGTTAAGCTCCATGTGATTTTACCATAAATGGCAATGATAAGGTCGATGGCACGACTCGATGTATTTGTTGACATCAGCAAGTGTCGCAGGGGCGGATTTAGGCCGTCTTCTGGGTCTTCCGGAAGACGGTCAGATTTTCAAGTTTACATGGACGGGTATCCAATTTTTCCTGGTGGAAGACGGTCAAAATTGGAGGATGAATCAACAAAGATAATTTGGAAGACTGTCAGTAAATAGCTCTGGATCCGCCCCTGTGTCGTGTAGGGGGATTGCCGCTATTGCTACTATTAATGACATTTTTCTTCATCTTTGTGGCTGAAAAAGAGAACAGAACAGAGCACACTTGTATGGGTTGAAAGAGGATAATGAACGTAACATAAATTATAAAACCTAGAATTTCTAACAGCCTATATAAAATGTCGCACAAACCGTTTGATCAACTGCGCGGTAAGTAATAATAACATTATTTAACGAGGGTAAAATATGTTAAGTGCAAACACTTATCTTAAACATGGCCCACTGGGGGGATAGAATAAAATATTGTGTTAATGTATAAAAGATGGATAAATTAATGAAATTAAAATAAAAATGAAGTAAAACTGAAACGAGTTAAAAATAATACTAGTAATAAGAATAAAGCAAAAGGTATTATGTTATTTTAAAAATGGTTATTATCTGATCCTAAATCAGGTTGCAGAAAGTGCGGCTTTTTAGTCTTTATATCATACAAAATGGTCAATCTTTTAAACCTTAGCTCAGTAAAAAAAAACGCATAAGATAAAATTTTACAAACATGGTTAATAAAATAAAGATTATAATTGAAACTAACGAGCACCAAAGAAATACCAGTAGCCACAATTACACAGCCACAGATACGATACACAGCTGCATGTACTTGACTCTCCGCCAGCGCTATGCGTTAACAACTGAGCTTCAGCATCTATGGTCTTGATGCTGATTGCCAGATCTTTTGAAAAAAATACTTCCTTAATGCAACACGCTCTTCCACGCGTTTGCAGCACTGCCGAGTCCGACCACGCACCGTCTTCAACCAAAAACCGAGAAAAGAAGAGGTGCGCAAGGTTTCAAGCGAAGAGAGAAAGAAGAATTTTTGGCGTTAATTATCTGCTTATCATTTTAATTGAAAGAACAGTCGTAAATAATTACTTGTGATTTAGTACGTTGTTAAGAAAAAGCGCATAATATATCAGATTTACTTTGCAACTTACGTTATTTCTTTAACTGACAAAAACATATTAATTGTCCCAGACATAGCTTTATTTCATAACCTAACTCACCTCAGACAGGTGAGATAAGTTATGAAATAAAGCTATGTCTGGGGCATTCACTCCGATGTCGTCTAGGCTTAACTTCTAGGAAATACAATGAAACAGATTTCAGGATATGAAAAGCGAGGTCGTTCACAATTATGTCTTTGAGATCATATCTATTTGAGTGGGATAACATCTAAAAACTCCAATAATTCTCAAATGTCGTCTATTAGGTGTCCTTGTGCAGTTATGAAAACACCTCAAAGTGCACAAAGTTAAATGAGCTTATTCAAACTTGTTTAACACCCTTCAAAAGAGATGGGAGACTGTGTGACAGGGAATTTGCAAGAGAGAGGGGGTTAAGGGGGGGTAGGGAGAGAGGGAGGTTAAGTACTCATGAAATCAAGGGAATTTGAGTTGATTGGTTCAACTTTTGTATTTATTCCATACAGATAATAAACATTTACAACACAGTGAGAGACAAAGTCACCTTCCGCACACCGTTCACGCAGTTAGAATAAAAATTCTTGCAAATAACGATGTAAAATACATGTAGAAATTTTAGTAAGGGTTCCTTAAATCGTATAGGGCTTCTAAAAAGAACAGTCAAAGTTAAATTATCAAAACATGAGCAACACCAATTAAACTTTCCCTCCAATAACGAAGAGCGAGAGAGGAGGGGGGTTGAAAGAGAGAAGAGGTCGGGGTCAGGCCCGTAGCCAGGGGGGTTCGGGGGGTTCGAAAGAACCGCCCCTTTTGCTGGGAAAAGGTCCACTATGGGTAAATTTTGGTCTAGGTAAGTAAAGTATTTATGGGAAAAGGTCCACATTTTCAGAAAAAGAACCCCCCTTTTGAAATTGCTGGCTACGGGCCTGGGGTTGAGAGAAACCAAGATAGGGGAAGAAACAGTGAGGATGAAAGTTGGGAGGTTTAAAAATGAGAGAAAGGCGTTTTGAGGAAATCATGCCAAAAAAGTCTAAAAACAATGACTTCCCAGTACGCCATCAACAAGGAGTAGCGACTTCATCAGGTCAGAGTGCATATTTAATATGTGAAAAAGGGTGTCCCGTCCCAATGGAAAAATTAAAACGATCTGTATAACACTGTTATGAATGCCCTCTTGCGAACCACCTTAAGATTTCTTCATCCTGGATCTGAATGTAAGCCAGGATCTGGGAAAATCCCGTTTACAAAACTTTTAAGACTATAAAAATATTCTACGGCTACACTCACTATCACCATTCTATATGCTTTGTCCAACTACTGTATTTAATGTTCAGCTTCTTCGTCACAATTATGAAAGATCGTGAAAGATCGATAATTCGAGGAAGTTCTGAGCACCACATTGTATGGACATATGGATCATTTCGGTCCCCCTGCCCACTGAATCCCGAATAAGATGGCAAGCTTCAATAATTAGGTTGTTTTGGGGCTCGCACTGGGGAGGAATGGCGAGCGCGAAAGAAAAAGCACCGTTCGCCCACAGTGCTAAGTAATGAAAACGGAAAAATGAGGTTAGTACACATGTTAATATTTAGTAAGGTAAATTTCTTGGGTATTGCTGTCCTTTATGAATATCATTTTAAATTGTTTCTTTTGCTCTTGAAAGGACTTGTATAACGTTGAACAAATGAATCTATCCCCCTATTTTCATATTTTTAATATAATGTTCATGTATTCTCTTACATCGCACTGCTGTACTCACTACTAAAATCCTTATAATCACATAATAAGCGTTAGACTTTTATGCAGCTAAAATTCAATTTTCCTCGGAATTTCAACACTAATTTCCTTTGTCGTCAAGTACATGTAGGCCATATGTAAAACCGCCATCACAATTAAGATCCACAAGCCGTTTTTTTTTTATTATTTATGCAATATATTTATAACGCTTTGTTTGGTATAAATTGGGTGGGGGGGGGGGTATAAATTGCTGAAAGGGAAAAATTACTAATTTACTAATCTTAGGACATCTCAATTTTACGAAAAGCCTGAAATTTTTTATTAATGTATAGAAAAGAGAGGTTAAGCCTAAGAGTTCTGATCTCAAGCCGATTCACTTCAGTGTAGATTTCTGACCTCATCCATTTAGTTAATACTATTTGTATTGTTAACTTCAATGTGAAAAAATGTTAGAAACATTGCGTATGTGTAACGTTGTATTGACGTTATGGAATAAACAAAACAATACAGTTTAACAAACAATACATTATCAATTGCTAATTGGCAAGGATATATTAATTGTCCTAAACATAAGCATGATTCTTTTTAAAGAATCATGCTTATGTTTAGGACAATTAATATATAAAACATTAATCACTTCAATCAGATAAGGTTGATGCACTTAGATTTCGTCTAGACTCGACTTCTCGGAAATGTGATTAAACAGATTTCAGGATATGTGAAATATTAGGACGTCTTCAATCACGGTGTTGAGATTATATCTCCCTAAACACTTCATATTCTAAAATTTTTAAAGTCGAAGCATCTCAATATAAATCTTTTACTTATTTTTGTACTGCTATAAATTTTACTCAGTAAGTGCAACAAGAAATGTGAGTAAGGCCCATTCATCCATAAATTGTTTAATCCTCTCCATTATGATATGAGAATATTAAGTAATACCCCCTGCACATACAACCCCTACGTTTTTGCCTCGTGCAAATTATGTATGCTAACACGTGTTCAACTACGTAGTGTATACCTATTAGTGATACAGTGTGTGTGCTCGTTTGCGTTTTTATAGGGGGTAGTAGTCCGCTGCGATCTTCACAACTATTTTGCAGGAAGACTTTGGACGACATCAAGCTAATTTGCCAGTTTGCTGTACACTATGACGAGTTACTCTGTTGGTTTTATATTGACCATCGTCACGATGTTCACAAGAGCTGTTTCTCAAGGTACTTTACCTCAGTTTTTTTTAAATAAATAGAAAATCAGTTTTGTGCCAGTTAGAAACATCCTGTAATGCTGAAAAAATAGGGTTCGAGTGAATTTAGAAACATTATTTTCAGTCCTGGCATGTATTTGAAATGAGACACTGTTCAGATAATGGATTTTGTCCTGGTACCAGTGGGTACATGTACGTATACGTATGGTTGGGTGTTTGCTTCATAAGAACATGTCATTTTCATAAATTTGCCTGCACGGTTGACAAGGATTGCTGACAGAGAGAGTAATCATGCACGTAATCAAATTTTCCATTGATTTAGATGTGTTCTGATAGCAGCTTGTATCTTTACAGATTATATGAAATTGGGTTGCTGGGGTGACACGGCAAACAGGGCTGTTCCCACTTTAGAAGGTAAAGATCCTATCCTTGATGGGAATTACTGGGCAAGAGTGAACCCAATCGAGAAATGCTACCAAGCTGCAAAGAAACGTGGGTACCAATATTTTGCCGTACAGAACGGTGGATGGTGTGCCTCCTCCAATAACGCCGTACAAACATATATGAAATACGGGCCTTCGGCCAGATGCAAATCAGACGGAGAAGGTGGACCGTGGGCCAACCAATTGTACATGATACCGAGCGGTAGGTCTTGCCTTACACATTTAACGTGGGAAATCAAAAGAAATTCTTTTGGGAAGATTTTGGCAAAAGAAACCAACATTTCAATAAATGTAAAGAAGTCTGGAATTCTTATCGTTTAGGGTATTCTTATATTGATAGCTGCGAAAATACACAATGTCCGCCTGAAAAAGGCCCACATAAATGATAGGGTCATCATTTTGCAATCTAAATATCCAGACACTAATATTACCAAAAATAAACTGCGCCAGGTACTTTTTTTTTTCGGAATTGGAACCTTCCTTGTGAAATGGCTGTCTAATAAATAAAAGATAATGGATTTTGATAAAGTTTTCAAAATGGCAGAAATGAGGTTACTTAAAAGTGGTTAGATTATGGTGATTATCCATTGATAAATAAATAGTTAATTATCGGATAACTATATGTCGTGGCGGTGGTCTTCGCTCTCTGAGTGTTTTTTTTTTAGTTTTTTTTTAAAGTTAATACCATATACCCTGGTGCCTGGTATCATATAGACCGATTTAGGGTCAAGTTAACATGTTCTGAAAATCAAGAAAATAATAATGAAAATGAGTAGCCTTTATATGACCAACGCTTAATTTACCTGGAAATTTCACCACTTGCCCCTTTGCAGTAAGCAACATCCTAAAGTGCTACAAAAAGAAAACGTTTAGGTTATTTACCCTAAAATATATTACTACAACACATAATTTAGTATATCTATAATTTTTATGTATAGGCACGGTGTGCCTGTATATAAAGCTATCACCTGCGTATGTGATCACCGTCGTCGTCTTCGCCGTCTTTCACTTTTATTTTCGTCGTGCACTTTTCGCTAATTTAAGGAAAGCCGTGTGACTTATTATCCTCAAAATTACTGGAAACTAAAATACAGGTCAAGTTTGAATAGTAGCTTTATTCGAATATTGTGATTGATGTTATTTTTTTATTATTTCGGGAGTGGTACTTTTTTGTGCACTTGATCTTAAATTTTCCATTGATATAGACGCGTACCGAATGCAGCTGGTATGTTTACAGGTTATATAAAATTGGGTTGCTGGGGTGACACGGCAGACAGGGCTGTTCCCACTTTAGAAGGTTCAGATCCCATCCTTGATGGAAATTACTGGGCAAGAGTGAACCCAATCGAGAAATGCTACCAAGCTGCAAAGAGTCGTGGGTACCAATATTTTGCCGTACAGAACGGTGGATGGTGTGCCTCCTCCAATAACGCCGTACAAACATATATGAAATACGGGCCTTCGGCCAGATGCAAATCAGACGGAGAAGGTGGACCGTGGGCCAACCAACTGTACATGATACCGAGCGGTAGGTCTTGCCTTACACATTTAACGTGGGAAATCAGAAGAAATTCTTTTGGGAAGATTTTGGCAAAAAAAAACCAACACTTTCAGTAAATGTAAAGATGTCTGGAAAACTAAATGTTTGGGTACTCTTTTTTTGATAGCTGCAAAAATATATAATGCCCGCCTGAAAAAGGCCCACATAAATGTTAGGGCCATCATTTTGCAATCGAAATATCCAGACCCTAATATTACCAAAAATAAACTGCGACAGGAATTTTTTTTCGGAATTGACACCTTTTTCATGGAATGGCTGTCTAAACAGACCGATTTAGGGTCAAGTTAACATGTTCTGAAAATGATGAAAATAATTATAAAAATGAGTAGCATTTTAGTGAAAAACGTTTAATTTACCTGGAAATTTCACCACTGTCCCCTTTGCAGCAAGTAGTTTCCTGAAATGCTACAAAAAAAGGAAAAAGTTAAGGTTATTTACCCTAAAATTTGTAACTACATCACCTAATTTTAGTTATTTCTTTAATTTGTATGTATACATAACCAGCACCTGACTTGTCATCCTCAAAATTACTGGAAACTAAAGTACAGGCCAAGTTCGAATAGTAGCTTTATTCGATTATTGTGATTGATGATATTTTATCATTATTTGGGGAGGGTTGGATTTTTTCTGTGAAATTTGCATTATTAAAACAAGTTGAAACTTCCCTTTGAGAAAAACCCAGTAAAAAAATTAACAGGTACATTGTGTTCGCAGTGGTTTGTACATGTACATGTATGTGTTGTTGTGAGGGTCTGGGTTACGAGTATTTTGAATTCTGTATTTATAAGGTTTTTGTCTCTCTGAAATTTATTAACCATTTCAACTCTGTTATTTTTATATATTGTTCACATTAAGAGAGTTGTTGTGTACATGTAATTCAGCAACGCAAGTTTTGTCAGAAGAGTCATTATTTAAACAAACATTGGCGTTTGCAAATGCATCAAAATCATTATTATCTCTTTCTTGCTTTTGATAGATTTGGAGTCATGCACTAATACCACATCTAACAAACTGGTGGCGTTCTCGGCAGGGAGATCCCACGATCTAGATCGGAGTGGAAAAGGAGAAGCAGTGGTTGTGTACGACACCGTCTTCCTGAACGATGGCAACGGTTACAACAAAGACACCGGCAAATTCACCTCTCCGAGTTCAGGGGTCTACGTCTTCCATTACCACAGCCTCAGCATCAACAGCAAGGCCGTGTTTGTCCGATTGTACCTTAATGGCCAGATAAAGAACACGGGATACGGTGGAACGTCTAAAGGGCATTCCACCGGTAGTAATACTATCGCTTTGCGGCTCTTCAAAGGGGACGAGGTGTGGATCGGTTTGGTTGGAGGTCACGCCCTTCATAACCACCCCGGGGAGTTTCACAGCACTTTCACAGGTTACCTACTTTATCCCAGCAGATGCAGCCAGTGACAGCCTGGCATATGAGAGGAGCCGTGGACCTTCCTCCACAGTGTTCTTTCACTGCAATATGTTACGTTATATACACGATTCTGCGCTAAAATTCTGTTGCGTTTTTAAATCTTATTCTGTTTTATTTTAATTTTCATCATCGGGTAAAACTGTTCTGTTTCTAGTTTAAAAACTATTAATTAGTTAAATAACGTCAGGTTAAACTAGACTACGTGTTCATTTGCTTGAAAATTTTGGAATATGAAAATGTATTTTTCTGGATAATAAAACCCGATACATTTATTCAGTTCATTTAAAGAAGTTCTTCAAATGCATTTTTTCCATTTTTCTTAATTTTAATTTATTAAAGCAAAATACTTTTTAAAATGGATATTTTCAATACTTAAAAATGTTTAAATCCCAAAATGCAACTAGTCAAGAGCCGCGTAGAGCTATTAATACATTAAACCAAACCATCCCACGGAAAAGAAATAATAAAAAAATCTTTTAATCTACTGGGTAATGTATTTGATACTAATTTGAAAAATACACGTCTGTTTTTGCATGATTTTACAGCATAACAAAGTACAAATAATTTCTTGCATGAAATACCAAAATAATCCAAAATCTGCACTGAGACTTTAAAAAAAGTTCAAATTGTGGACAAATCATAAATACACAAACATATACCAGTGTATCACTTAAGCTGTGTATCACATTCACGTATCGTAAATAAACTGATACCAATGGAGTGCAAGTTCTCAGAAAATAAGTCTGAGCATAATCATAAAAAACTGTGAACCCTTAACATCACTAACATACAAAATGTGAATTTGTAACACACATACATATACACATATTGCATAATTGCCCTGAAATTATACCTTTCGGTTTTGATGCATATATTCAAGCCTGGGACAAGGCAGCAGAAACCGTGCATAGAATCTTTTAAGCTCCTCTCCTGTGACTATTTTTTGCCCTTAATGGCATGGCAATGATAGTAAAATGTTTTTCCTCTTTTCAAATGTAGAATTGCTTTCCTAGAAAATTAACAGTGTTTTGAAATTTGGTTAAAGAGCATCTTCCCAGTCAAAAATGATCACTACGGGCAGTTACCAGACCTGTCAATAGTCCATCCCTAGTTATATCACAATAACCATGACACTGCATGAACATTTCCAAAAAATCTTTTAATTTAGAATTCTACTTGACTGTTTTAAATATATTTCATTCAGACAGAACTTAATATTGAAAGGGCAAAAAACATTCACTGGAGGTTGTCAATCCCTACTCTTTGCATCTACCTTATTTCAATCATTTTACCCACATTATTCAAAGGTTCAATCTTTTAAAAATAAAGAGGAAAAGAAAAGCAAATTTAATTTTCTTCATATGGTCAAAGGCATGATACACATCCACACCCACACGGACTAACCCCAAATTACAAATTCACTCCCATTACTTAATAACTCTATATCAGTTAATTAACTTGCCAATAGCAGTTGGCTGTGGGCAAACCCCCAAAATCATACATATAAAAACATTTGATTAACTTTAAGTTATGCATATTAATTTTTCTTACTGTCATCCTTTTTTTTCTTATGAAGAAACCAGAGCTAACATAACCCCTTCTTCTCTTACCACTATGTAGGGGTACATTTCACCAAAAGAAATCCATAATCTCATATGGCATTTCAGCAAGTCCACTTCTATTTACATCACCATTCTAGCATCTTTTTGCGGTCTCAATACCATTAAAAAAAGCACCATTCTGAAATTTGCCTTTACAAAATAATCTTCTGTCTTCATAAATAAAATTATAAGTTGATATTAAAGTTTAAGTACTTACAAGTCTGATAAATTGCGCTATAATTTACCTGCTCTATCCAAAGACCTCAATAGCACTTAATCTTCTTACATAGTGCAATGTAATTTGCAACAAATTCATTCCATTTACTTAAATCACTTTTCAGAAACCCAAGCTTATTAGATCTTATTTCATGAATGATTTTGTTAATGTTTTACTAACACTCATCTTTTTTTCAGTTCAAACCTCTTGGTTGCTATGACTTCCATCATATAATCATAATAATTATTATTATCAAAATTGCACTAGCGGACAGCTGCAAAGACCTTTAAAGGGTGGGAGGTGTGGGGGGGGGGGGGGCAGTGAATTTGAACAAACCTCCATTTTGGACAAAAATGAAATTTGACCTAGCTTCTATACGTCATTTTTCAAGTTGGGTGACCAATGGGTAAAAGAGTTCACTACCGGGGTATTTTGCAAAAAATAAAAAAATAAAAAATAAAAAAATTAGGGTTACAGGTCTGATTTCACCTCTCCACACTTTCAGTTAAAGTTTTCTTGGAACCTTCTGCTGAGCTGGAAACTTGCTGATAACAGTTAGCCAGCATATGACTTATCACCTCCAAAAAAGGTGAAAGAACCCGTTTCATTTTCTGTGAATCACCTTGAGAGAGAGAGAGAGAGAGAGAGAGAGAGAGAGAGAGAGAGAGAGAGAGTAATCTGAAGAAAAAAATATTCCCTGTATCTTTTGTCCAAAAAAAAAATAAATAAATAAAAAATAAATAAATAAATAAATAAATTAGGCATCAGCATATCTCAACTTATGATCCCCTAAACAGAGCAAAATTAAAACCTAAACTTTTCAGAGTCTGAAAGTGTGATGGCTCCAGCAGCTGAATAACCTCTTGTGGCAAAGTCCAAGATGAGACGGTTTTTTCCTCATTTATAAAGAACACCATTCCTTTTGTCGTCTCTTCCGTGCTACGATGAATGGTCCATCCACCAGGAAACAAAGAGTCCTTGATGTAAATACCACAGTCACACTTTTGGTGCTCGTCGGAAAATTTTAGTTTTTCGAGCAGATCCTGAAATCGGTTTATATCGGTGTCATAGGCTCTGCTGTAGATATAAGTCTGTGACTGACTTTCTAGATACTTGGGTTCCTCCGGGGGTAATGGCGGTGGTGCTGGGGGTCGATCGTCAATACTTCCTCTACGATATTTATTCGATTTGCTAACAGTCTCTCTCGTGTTGCTTTGATGCTCATCCATACTACCTCGCCTATACCAGGTTGGTTTGGTCTCCGCTTCATTACGTCGGCTATTTTCCAAGTATCCCACCTTGACACTCTTACTTTTCCCTCCTGCCCTACCTTTAGTGGTAGCAATGGTGGCAGAATGTGGGGGTGATTCACCTATTGGATATGCAGAGTCTGAAAAGTACCTCCCCTTTGGTCCATTTGTCATTGCTGACCTTGGAAAACTCTTGGAGTAATTCAGAGGAGAACGGCCAGAAGGAGGGTAGGACTCGGAGAACGGATCTGTTAAAGGCGGTGTTGCTGTACTGTAAGCAGTGATGATGGGATGAAGCAGTCGCACGTTTGCGATGTTCTCCAAGTTTGGGACGTCCTCTTTGGCATAATTTTGAACCAAGTCATTGATAGTTTTAAAGTACTTGTCTTGCAGGAAGTACTGGGAGTCGTTTTCGTTGATGGTGAAGTGTTTTATGGAACCATCTTCATGTCTGAAAATCATCAAAATATTTCACTTTAATTCACTATCTAAAAAGGTCTACCTGATACTATTAAACAGAGCAGTGCTTATGTGTGATAAATACTCAGTGGTTTACATGTCATTCCAATTTTTTCAAAAAACACTATAAAGTTTTTAGGAGCACAATGACTTTCAAAATCACCCACATAAACCATTAATAACGATGATGAGAGACTTAAAGAAAACTGATGAAGACTTAAAAACTAAAGAAAAAAAAACTAATCTGACAAGAGAACTTGAGTAAGGTACTTTCACCTAATATAAAAGATTAACTTTACACTGATCGTTATGGGAAAAGTTTAAAAAAATTCTTTGAGGGACATCCCATGCCAAAAATTGCTATTAAATCTTTATTATCATTCTTTATTTGTTTAAAATTTATATAAAATTTAAAAAAAACTCTCATCAAAAGTTATTATTTCTTTTTGAAAATTCACTCCATGCATCATGTGTGTGTCACAAAGTATATTATCCTAACAGAAATGTGGAGAACAGAAAAATTTAACTCACACAACAGAGACGACAAGTGCCCCTTCGTTCCTTGAACTGTTCCTGAGAAGAAAGCTGCCTGGGATATGGATATAGTCGAAGAGAACCTCTTTAACCTATTCAAAGAAATGTCAGCTTAATCATCAAAAAAACTAAGCATGAATGTTATAAACTGGAGGGCAAAGCTTGCAAGTATACAGACATCAAACTGAAAATATATATATACTTTTACATAACAAGGCAGCAAAGCTGTCAAATGTACAGACAAAAAACAGAAAATAAAGATGCAAAAAAGGTCATTTTGTCAATTTTGATGCAATAATAAATAATGCTTATAATAGCACTGTCAGTCAACACTGAATTTTAATCTTGCACAACAGGTAACATGGTCAATAACAGGAGCGGACCCAGAGATATTTTCTGACAGTATTACAAAGTATCTATGTTGGTCCATCCTCCATTTTGATGGTGTTCCAACAGAAAAAAATAGATACCAGTCAATATAAACT